TAAATAGTTGAATGCTCGATAAGTATATTGGGCAGAACTATTCACTGATTATAATTTCATTATCATATACCATGCTGAAAAGAATAATTTACTTGTAGATGTGTTTATATGCTGTACTGATAAATTGGATTAACAAAACAGTACTAAAAAAAAGAATCATCTTTAGCAGCTTATAAAAGATAATTAGATGAATATAAAGATTATACACGAATCTTTATAGCAAGACTTGGATGTAATTACAAATATCGATATATATACAATTATATTGCTTTTCGATATTATAAATTGTATTATTAAAGTAAATAGATTTTATTCAAGTTTAGAAGCTTTGTGTATTCAGATTATCAAATTGTATAAGTATTTCATGCTTGAGAAAGGACTTTTGCTTTATAACGATCGACTTTATATATCGGATACTGAAAATCTGCAAATCTATTTGATTTACGAAGTTTACGATTCAGTTTTTATTGTATATTTTAGTATTAAAAAGATCTACACTCTCTTGGCCAATCAATATTATTGGAAGAATATGAATAATATAATCAATCAATATATACGAAATTGCTACAAATACAAATACAGCTTTGTATTAAGAAATCGTACTCCCAATCTCCTCTACCCGCTCCCAATCCCTATACAAGCATGACAATATGTTATCATGAACTACTGTAGTTTCAATAAGGATAAATATGATTACGATAATGTATTTATTATTATCGACCAATTAATCAAACAAGCTATTTCGATATTCTATCATAAATCAATTGATTCAAAAGATTAGGCCTACTTGTATCTATACTATATATATAGATACTATAATACCCCAAAAACTATAATCTCTGATTATAGTCCTCAATTCATATTCAAATTCTAGCAAGAATTCAATAATATCTTAAAAACACAAATCAAGTTATTTATCACTTACTACCTGCAAACTGATGGTCAAATTGAGATTTATAATCAATATCTTTAACAACACTTGCGACTCTTTATAAGCTATTATCAAGATGATTAATCTGAATTCTTATTAATAATAGACTATGCTTAATTTATACTTTCTTATGAATTATTAGATGGTTAAACCCTGTATAAGATTTTGTATAACTACCTACCCCGCAATCCCTGGGATTGGAAATTCGACTCCACCATGCCTATCAATAATTTGAATATAATTGATACTAGAAAGTATGCCAAATATAATAAACTAGTATTTGATCGAGTAAAAGAAAATATCTTATATATACAAGAAAAGATGTCTCGATTGGCTAATTTGTATTACTGTTTAGTTGACTTCGATATAGGAAACTATATATAACTCAGTATAAGGGACTTTTTGATATAACAATTATCCAAAAAACTGGATTATCTTATTCAAGGTAGATTCAAGATTATTAATCGAGCCGGAGATTCCTTTTGATTGGATTTACTGTTTATTATAAAAGTCTATTCTGTATTTCCACCTAGCAAGCTCCACAAAGCAGCAGACGATCTACTTTTTGGACAAATCCTCGAACCACTACCCTTAATAAATATCATTAGTGATATTGAATAGGAAGTGGAGTATATTCTAGTTGTAAAGAAAATATGCTGATAGCTTAAATACAGAGTATTGTAGCTAAATACTGATGATAATTTCACCTAGTACTCTGTCTCTAATTTAAAAACTGCTTCGCACTATCTCCATGATTTCTATCTACGAAATCCCATTCTGCCAGGATCTTCTATACATTTATCGAAATGGATTCGTTTTTATGAGAATGGAAAGGATGATTATGATTTTACAGATAATAATCAATATATGAATAAAAAAGATAGAAAGAACTTCTTTAATTTATTATTATAATAAAAAAAATCCTAATTGTATAAAAAACTAAAAGTGATTGGATAAAGATGAAATGTCAATAAAGAAAGTCTTTTTCTTTATCCGGTAGATTTAAATCAAGCTAAAAAAAGCCTTTATAAGCATTAACGGTTATGGTCGGGTGAGGCATGATAGTAAAAGCTGGATGGTTTAAATCGAAATACTAGTCAAGTCCCTAGTCAACAGTGACGATAAGCATATACAGAACAACTATAAGCCGAAAGACAAGACGACTATTAACCGCAGTACGTGTGACAACAAGGCCAAGCCTGTGTTTAGTCGTACTCAACTACTTACAAGCTACCGAAAGCTTTGTTTCCATTTGAGTTAGGATAAACTGATGCTGCTGCTCCAATTCGTTTCCCCGCACTACAACCTCCGTCACGTGACGCTCTGCGGTTTCTCGAGCAAGGGTAAGAGGAAGCATTTCTTTCAAAATGCAACTCTTTAGCTTCTTCTGTATATCAAGTTATTTCAAGAGTTAATTTTACTAAAAGCTGGCAAAGTTATAACTTATCTCTACCATATTGCTATACTCAGTAATAGCTAATCGGTATCGGAGAAACATTTTGTGTGTATTCTTATCAGGCGAGTATTTATACTTATATTTACTAGTTAGATAAAGCAGATAATGAGATTGATTAGATGATTATTCAGGAAATCGATAATAGATACTATCTCTCTTGTTGGAAATACAATTGTGTATACAGTCAGTACAAATCCAGCTGTTCTCCCGAATGTATTGTTCCTATTGTGATACTATCTTTTTTGGTGATCTCTTATTTAAAGATCCTTATTCATCAATATCAATAAAACTAACACTTCTGTGATGGGGTGTATCGAATTTACAACCAGGTTGATTTTGATGTAAAGCCTTCAGGATATCTTCCTCAACTATCTTATTATCATTTTCGAGATTACGAAAATGATATATTGCTACAATCAACTTGTTAGCGAACTTCTTTTCATAATTATTAACACGATCGATCAAGGAATTGTATTTTTCCTTTGAATTCTATTTCGGAAAACGATGGAATAGATATATCCAATAAGCATATCGAAGATCGACCCTACTCTTAGGTATATTGCCTTTGACATCTGTAATCGCACTTATTAGACAAGCCAATCGCAAGCTGGAGACACTAAAAGAAAGTCTCACTTATATGTATCTTTATCATCCAATTTATTTTCCTTATCATCCTCCTCCTTGCCGACAGAATCATTACTACTCCCGCTGTAACTCGATTCCTCCTCTTCTTCAATAGGACGTTTGCTTTGTGCAATAGAAGAGGCAGATGCTCTCTTCGTTATAAGCTGTAAAAAAGCATATTAGCAAAGCAAATACAAAAGAAAAATAAACAACTCATTGCTGCATGTGCATCCTTCCACTGCTTTAGCTGTGCTGGCGATAACTTGCTCTTGCTGCTGTATTTTCTTGATAATGTAGAAGGTATATTGATTATTAATCGAGGGATACGAAAAAGGTAAATAACCAGAAAAGATTTGGAAAAAAAGAGGGAAATTCGGGTAATCTATATGTTTCGAAGGCTTTGCGTTGTTGTTAGACTACAGGACGGTTTCCTCCGTTTCCCATATGCTTTTCCGTCGCGAAAAAAGCAAAATTTGTGCATATGTCTGTTTATTATACTATATTACAATATAAATAACAATGCTTTATTGGGATTGCCGATGCATTTACAGATTAGATAATTGTGAAGCTTAAAGGCAAGCTTTTTCGAAAGGGGAAATAGTGTTATGGATTGCATCTAATCGTAGTTGCAATCGCTTATGTGCATGCTTGTGTATGTGTATGATTATGTGTATATAGCTAGTATATAGAAGCGCTCTACAAACGCTTTGCTTCTGATTCTGTAGTTGTAGATTCTAAGGATAAATTGTACCCTGCTCTCGCAGTTCTTCTAAGGCAAAGTGTCACAAAAGGGTAGATATCGAATATTGATATTAGATGGGTATGAAAGCCATAGAATAAGAGCTTTTCAGATATATTACAAAGAGAATAATATTATATACTTAAATCTATTATTATATTCAAGTTATTTAACTCAATCACTTAATATAAACTGTTTTAGGAATCTGAAATGTTTATATAGTGATTAAATTGATAAGTTTATTAAGGCACATATCAATTATATTTCAAAGATTAAATTCTTTATAGCTTTTAAAGCTATATATGAAAAATCAATCACCTTTTAGAATATGAAATCAAAATTCAGAAAAGTAGGTTTAATATCCTTTAATCCTAATGCTGTATTTTCGAAATTGGATATTCGAATTTGTACACCTATCCCCCCCTTTTTCGATTTAAATTAATAAATCTCTCAAACCCCTCACAATTCAATTAAAGCTCTTTCTTAATCAACTTTAGTAAAATCTCAAATAACTTAATATTAATCAAGTTCTCTTATATCTATATTCGAGATTGTATTAATTTTAGCTAAAAATACAAAGAGATTAGCTTATGAAAATATATTTTTGAATACAGAAATTCATATACTTCAAAAAGCAAATAAGATATTAAACAAATATCGATACACAAAAAAAACCTAATTATATTAAGAAGGAGTATTTACTAAACAAGAAACTCTTGATATATTATTTTAGTAAAAGATTGATATTCAGATTCAATATGATGAGTATCAAAAAGAAAGGAATTCTAATAGAAAAGCATTTTCTATTCGGTGTTGTAATAAATATAGAAAGATAAATCATAATACAAGAACCTATCAAAATAATGTAATAGATCCTAGATTATTAGATTCTTAATAGTTTTAATTAATTGATTCAATTGTTATTGAATAATATAGGTTTGAAGGTGTGAATTGAGGTGAAAGTAGCCCACTCGGTGATATGGCCCACTCGGTGATAAACCACGTTATAATTTATTTAACAATTTGAAAGTTGATTTGAAAATCTTTTATATAAGAAATTACTATATTTGAAATCTTTAAAATAATTTATTTATTCTTTTGAATAATTACAGTAATTAATTATAATATATATCAATTTCAATAATTCAATTTTTATATTTATTGAAATAATATATAATTCAAAAGTTGAAGAAATGAAGGTTTTTGGTGTGTTTTCGGCTAGTGTGCGATAAGCCGGGGCCTCAACTCTTACATACCCTCCTACAAAATGAGTACACATATATAAATAACCCTTCAAATCCACTCACACAAATTCAAATTCAATACTCAAAATTCACGCCATGAATCAAATTCTTAAATTTGATGTATTTATTTATAATAATCGCTCGAAAGAGTGATTTGAATACCTATTTCGAGCCAACGCTAGGGTTATTCAAGTCTGAGGATGTATTATCCATTATCCATCAGCTCATCTCATGTCGTTTCAACATCCCACTAACTCGTCTCATTTTTATCTCATCTTGAGTCGTCATCTATCAGACCCTCCTTCATCCATCCTCATCCACCAGCCAAAAAAAACTATTCACAAGAATAAACTGTTATTAAACCCCCTTAGCCTACTAACCACCCTCTCAAAAAGGAACGGACAGCTAAAAACGCCATTAAGTGATATATCAACCACCCCACTCTCCATATTTACTCTCGGAAAAAAAAACAAGAACAGGGTGCTGTAGAAAAAATGTTCAAGCTGTTGTTGTAATGTAAGTAAATCCCCAACCCAATGCCAAGCTAATGTTCAAAAAATGCAAATGCCAAAAAAGAAACCCGCCGTATACGATAATGCAGTACTTTACAAAGCCATCATAGCAACGACTGCCACAATACCTGCAAATACACTGCCTTTGAGGACTCGTTCTTGATTTGCGACAAGGCTATCTGCACTGCTTTTGCTGGTAGTGGTAGAGCCATCTCCTTGAGAAAATCCACTGCTGCCAGTTGAAGATGAACCACTGGATGATGAAGTTGCTGATCCCGAGCTAGAATCACTGCTGCTACTGTCATCACCAGAATGGTTATCTCCAACTCCTCCACCACCGTAACCTGTAAGTCCAGGAACTGTTGCGGCAGTGGAAACGGCAGTTGAACCAGAAGCTGCTGCTGATTCTCCCGCGGTCATATTTGTTCCAGTAGCCAACAGAGAAGAGAGGATAGTGGCATTTTTTGAATCGACCACGGTGTCGTTGGTTCCCAAAGCACTGTTGTAATAGTATGACTTTCCGGAATTCGTTCCTGGAGCAGATTTTGCGTTGTAGCATGAAATGTCGACCGATTCAAAAGCGGCATAGTAGTAACCGTTGTTTTTAATATCCTCAGAATTCCAGTCAATTTCACCACCTGCCCAAGCAATAGTTCCAGCACCATTACTCGCGAGACCACCGGGCCAAAGAGAAAGTTGGACTCGAGCAGGAGTTTGTGGGAAGTTCCACTGGTTTGCGGTTGCATTCCAGGTATCTACACGCTTCTTTGTACGTCCAACCTGTCCATCTACAAGCCAAGTAATCTCATCAGGAGTCCAGTCGATTTCGTACTCGTGGTAATTGGCATATGTATCCGAAAGGGTGATATTTAACTCGTTGTCATCTTTCAACCGATTAGCATATTCTCGTGCGCCCATGAGAGATTTACTCACAATTTGTAATACCCTGGAAAAAATAGTTAGATTGGGCAGTGGTCAATTCCGAACCAACAAATTCGTAATCGATTTCGTCCTTCACATCCGAGAAAAGAATAAAAGCCGTAATCACACCCCGACCTCTACTAGTCTTGAACTTTGCCTTTACATTTCCATACCACATATAAGTCGAAGAAGCCATAACCGTTCCGACCGAGTTTGCCGACATGGTCAACAATACATTATTATCGTAGATAACTGGACTTCCACTGTAGACCCAATTCGACTTTGATGCATCGCCCAAGTATTTTGTGTTTGAAGTTATACCATCCATGCTCGTAAAGGTATATGAAGCGCTTTCGCAGACGGGTTCGGGAACGCAGGAATCGACAGAAAATGACATTCGAGGATCACAACCCCCTAGACAATATGCGCCAGTACCACATTCTCCATATTCTGTGACTGTTAGTTCAACCTTCCATATTTATCCTTGTACTTTTGAGAGCAGACTCACGAGAGCAACATGGAGTTTCTTCGGGACAATGACTGTCGAGACTGCAAGCAGCGAACGCCACCGAGGCTGAGGCCAGGACGGTCAATAATGTTGATTTTCCAACCATTTTGTATGTATATGTATGTGTATGTATATGTATATGCAGAAGTCAAAAAAGAGAACCGCCCAAATGGATATCGAAGCGATTGGCGATATCGAGGCGCCTTGAGGTAGTACGAAGTGTACGACGAACAGGAAAAGAAATATAAAAGGTCCACGATAAAAGTGTAAGGTTAACGGCTTATTGCAATTAAAATATCTCCGTGTCGAGTGAATAAGTATGTGCTGGGCGTGGTGAAATTTCTTGTTCGAAAATTGAGGAGTGAATTTATAGTTCCCCGCGAAATTCCAGAGTCCCGAATTCTTTCCTTGTCGTGATATAAAATCTGTTGGTCGACCGTTTTATGTGCGTCTAACTGTGCGTCTAACTGTTTCTTCGTATGGTTCCTTCCCATAAATTCCTCCAAATGGAAAGATTATTAAATTGGTCTTGCTTGCTTGGCAGATGTAGTGTAATGGAAGAATGGATTCCCAAGCGAATGTGATTGAGCAGAAAAATGACCAGAGAACAATAAGACTCAACGACGAATAACGAATGATGTCGTGAATACTTTTATTGATTTACCTACGTACTTTTGTGAATAATGGAAGAAGTTGGAGAAAGAAGTGGGATAGGGGGGAAGGAAAGGGAGAAAGAGGTATTTGAATGGGGAAGACAAGCTTAAGGAGGACAAGACCAGGAAAAGAGGGTCTACGGAAGTGGGAGTTCTGGGTTATTTTCTATTTTCATCCATGCAATATCCATCCATGGTGGTGACTATTTTATTGACTACTAGGTAGGTAGTGCTCGACATTGTACAGAGTACCTCGAGTATTTTGACAGAGGACGAGGGATTGAAAGACGGCTGGCTGTGTTGGATTTACATGTATTAACGGGTTTGGTGCTAGTTTTGGTTGTTTTGATCTTTTTGATTACTTTTTTACTTCGCTCCAGTCTTATTAAGCCTCAAAGATCAAGACTTACGACTCAATACATACTCAATAGCACAGTCTAGTGGTATCGGGAGTGTGCACTTTGTACAAAACTCTCCAAATCTAATTCCATCCCTCCCTCCCTCCAGACCACAATCCCAATTCGCCCTAATCTCGATCTGCATATCCTCCGCACCCGTCCCGACTAGTCACCACTAGGAGATTTCTATTTTGCGAAAGAGTGGGCTGGGAGGATCATTCAGCATGACCAATGTGGAGTGTTCACATCATCCCATTCATCAATCTTCCAATCACAGCACGTGTAAATATGGAGAATCTCGTACTCGACATGCATACACACCAGGAGGGAGGCAAATAATGAAGAAGAAATAACAGACTTGCACAATCGGGGCGATTAGCCATTGGTAGTGTTGCGAATTGGGTGGAAGGACAAGCCAATACAAGGTGAGTCCTTTTGAATCATTTTGTGGCCATGAAGGGAATACGAAGGAGGGTTTGAAATAGGAATGGTAGTGCTGATGAATGAATGGTATGAGTAAGGTAGAGAGGTAGGTAACTTGGAGATATCCCTCGTATTTGAATGACAAGATTTACTTATGAATTTATGACAGAAATAGAATCATAGATGATAGAAACACAGAACCGTAGAAGCATATCCATGGATATTCATAGAATCAAAGCATGAAAACATCAAAACATCACATGACAACAACAACAACAACAACAACAACATGAAACCTCACAGAAAGTTAATCCTTAGCTTTAGATCTGATTCACAATTTGACATACATACTAGGTACAACCTGGAAGTTACAACGGTACATAAATACGCAATTACACTTTCCCCCATCAAACTCCACTCAAATTCCGGGGAGAACCTTTTCTTTTGATTTTGACTTACTTTATTAAGCGCTTAACCTTACCTACTACATACCTAGTCCCTTGAAAACCCCCTGAAAATCCCTCCCCACGAGATCACAAGAAGGAAAAAAGAAAAGAAAATATGTGGACACGAACGTTGAAATTGTTCTGTCAATAACCGCGTTGAGGAGTTTGTACAAAGTATATCTTCAATGGTTCTGGGGAAGTGGGAAGTGAGTGATCTTCGTATCGTATTACATCATGTGTGGTATACAAGAGAGCATAGGTAATTTTGTTGATATACATACATATACCGCTAATAAACATATTTGGTAGACGACAATTTCTCTCGAGAAGGACAATGTATTACTGTACCCCTCGATTCAAGACATCGATGTGGTATTTACGATGTACACATAATAACAACATCCATTGCGTACCTATCTATGCCAAGACTATCGTTTTTACCCAATAAATATCATCTATAATCTATAATTTATAAATTATCATCAATCCCTTCTCCAAGTATCTAGTTCGTATTTACTAAACAACATCCGACATCAGCCTTACGCTTTACATCACCCTCATATCCATATCCATATCCATATCCATATTCATATTCACCATCAGATTCCATATCCAAATCCACATCTATCTCACCAAATCATCACAACATCCATCCATCCATCCATCCACCCAGCAATCCATCTATACCCATACTCCGTACACCAAACACAAATCCCACCAACTCCCTACCCCTCAATCTAATCTCCAGATCATACTAGCTTAGCCAGGTACAAACTAACCACACGGCACGGCGCGGCACGCGAGTGATGGGATCTATCTAGGTACTTGTACGCTCACTCTCCTTACTAAATATTTTATGGTAGTCAAATGATCATAAAAATTAGATGAGATGAGATGACTTATAAGATATGAGATATGAGATATGCGATGATATGATATTAAATCAGGAACCCGCGAATCCATGTTCCTGGATGATACATATATACATATATACATACATATACCTATCCAAGTAGGTTTGCGTCATTGGAGTTAGATAGGTGAATAGATAGATAGATACCTATAATACCGTATATTATAGTATCCCGAAAAGTATAGGATTATAGTTTGATCAAAACCTTAGATGTATAAACTATATATATATATATATACATACCCACTGTATATACGTGTATATCTACATCTATCATCTATCCCATATCCCATATCCCATATCCAGCCGATACTGATTAGACAACTATTTATACCCTATAGAACAATACCCATATCATATCTAATCTAACCAACAAATACAAGTACAAATATAACCACACGTAGGTAGCACATAAACATCCTCTAGTTCCAGATTATCGATACTCTCAAGTGAGACTAGATTAGACTACACGAGTCGAGATTATGTTGGACAGACTGTGTATGTTATACCACACATGTATGTATCTATGTACCTATGTACCACACACAATATAGATACCATCTCACCATCTCACCATCTCTTTCCCCATCGCTCAGTCTCGCAATAGATAATCTAGAAACCCATCAACTACCTCCAATCTTTCCGGAGCCGGAATTTAAAAATCCAATATCTTTCTCTCCTGATAGATATCATATATACTTCCATCCACCCACACCCCCCTTCCTCATCAAATTCCTCAAGCTGCAAACAAGACTTTCAATTTTCATTTCGTTCCAACCCTAATCCAACTCACCTCACACCAAAATACAATACAATACAATAAAACTCAAACCTACCTATACCCACCTACCTATTTCAAGCACACCTCGATACATACATACTAATAGATATATACCAAAACGTCTTTCCAGTTTTAATTCTTTTACTTATATAGTACCTATCCTATCCTATCCTATCCCCGTCTCCACACTAATGCTGAGATTTCACTTCTTATATTCTTATATTCTTATATTCTTATATTCTTATATTCTTATATTCTCCTATTCTTCCAACTTCCATTCCTCCCTTCCCTTCCCTCCCATTCCCTTCCATTCCAACCTCAAACCTCAAACTTCACACTTCACACTTCACACTTCACACTTCACACTTCACACTTCAAACCTCAAAACTCAAACTCATATTTCCCATCCCATACAATACACACTCACATCCTACCATTCATTCCCTACCTTATTCAATCTATCCAATCCCACCCTCCAATCCCACCCTCCAATCCCATCACCACCTCACCACCTCATCTCCTCACAAACCCGCTTACTCGAGGATTCTAAAGTTCAAACTTGGTTGTGTGGGATGAATGAATGTTGTGGAGTGGATGATAAGGAAGTGGGTAGGTGGGTGGGTAGGTAGGTGAGGAAAAGAAAAGAAGGGAAGAAAGAAAGATATAAATAAGTTAGGAGATAAAACGAAATACAGATCAAAAAACAGATCAAAAAAGAGAAACTAAAGATATATATTAAAAAACACAATCCAGAGTCCAGCCCAAGAACCTCCAACCACAGACTCCCAAGAAAATATTCATTTCCAGAATCCAGAATCCAAAGTCCAGAATCCAAGTAAAGAGACGAGAAGCGAAAGATATCAAGCCGGTCAGATCAAAAGATACGCCATGGACACATGTATGCTACGTGGTATTCTGTTGATGTTGTCATCCATGATCATTTTCCAAATTTTTGAGAAAGAGGAAAGAGGGAAGGGAAAGAAGAGGAGAGAGGAGAGGAAATGAGACGAGATGAGATGAGCTCTTATTCAAACGCCTTAATAGTGATATAGAAACGCGCCTTTCTTTCCAACCATGATCCGTCCATCCTACCATCCACCCACCATCCGTCCATCCATCCACCAATCATGCAATAAACCCACCAACCCAACCCAATCCAATCCAAGCATAGAAGTTGCAACCAAAAAGACAGAAGCGCACGAAAAATCAACATAAATTCAATGGACAAACAAACATCCATGCAAGCTTGCACATATAAAATAAGCTAAGATAACTTTCTCCTCAACCCGAATGATCAAACCAGGAGCCGAGCCGAGCCAATCCAATACCCAAGCCAACATCCTGTACTTCCTTCCGAAGCCATGTACCGAAATGAAATATTTTGAAGAAGAAACGAAAAAAAAAGAAGAGAGAAAAAAATAGCACGCCAAGAGTATCCCACCCGATTCCATCCAGCGCCCCCCTTATATTTTCCCGCCAAAATTATCTTTGGCGTACTGTTCGCAAGCCTAGATGACGGATAGGAAGCTTGATTAGTTATGGGTTATTTAGTGTATCGATACTAGTCTCTCCATCTCAACAGATACATATTGATATCCAAGACCAGTATTTCACAAGACCAGATGTCCCAGATACAAAAGTCAAACCACAACAAGAAATAGAAGCTCACCTTGGCGGGTTTTCCAACTTTCTGTCCAATAGCCTTCCACTTATTCGCCTCGTAATCCTTGATGGCCGCGAGCAAAGCCTGACTCTATTTGAGCATCAGCACGTACCATATGCATGATATGCTGCAAAGATAGAACGTACCTCATCTTCCGCGAATTCCGCATAATGCATGTCCTAAAACTCTATTAGTCTATGTCATAACAACCACCCCATACTACTTTCGTACTAGCGAGACAGATATATGGGGAGAAAATGATGAGAATGAAAGTATATATTTACCTTGTACCAGTGCTTCTTTACACTTCCTTCAGTTCTTGCTGGGAAAGTCTACAAACACAAATTTCAGGTCTTAGCTTCGTCTCCAGGCTTTGTGCGACTTGACATGAAAAGTCTGTTTGGGTCACTTCAAAGTAGACTTTCATCTGATCTCACCTTTGCAATATCCGCCCAGCTATTACCTGCATCCCTCATATTCTTCAATCTCTGCTCTTCAGCAGGTGTCCAAGGAGTATTGGTACGACTCTTTTTAGCAGGTGGTGCCGTCGACGAGGCCATATTGGGGTCATCTAAACCCGCCGAAGAAGGTCCTGCAATAGATGAACCCGCCTGCATATTGAAAACCGAAGTATTCGTTGCCGTCGCAGGGCCCGTGGCGCGTCTCTTATTTCGCGAGCTAGCTGGCGAAGGAATCTCGGATTTGAGGGTAGACGTGTCGGTAGTCGATGGGTGATTATGTGAGAGTTGAAAGCTCGCGTTAGGATCGATTTCTTGTCTATCTACACGCTTAGACATTGGATGGATGGTCGGGGGTGAGTGCGCGGGAAAGGTAAAGAATGCAGAGAAATCTTCGAGGTCGGGAAGGTTCGAGAAGTTTTTAGGTGGTTGTTGCGCGAGAGAGGTGTCGGAGGGAGCTGCAGGCTCGCGTGTGGATTGGTTCATAAGATCACCGTGTGAGGCTGGGGTATAGATACAAAGATACTTACGTTCTCATGTACTTGGGAACGTTTGATTGTAGTCAACAGGGCTGACATCCCTTTCTTTGCATATCTTGCCGAAGACCGTTGGAAGCGCTTGGCACCACTTCGGATCCTAGGACAACCTGTAAGGCGTCTGGGGAAGTGGAGATGTTAATGATATAGTTGATGGCCCATTCATCTAATATTGTGTGACAAGCAAGATTTTGTGTGAAGTTTGATGATGGGGAATTTTGTTGTTATAGGTGTGATCTGATGACTAGAGGGGGGCGGCCACATCCAGACATTAAGTATCCTCGGTACATGTTCCAAGGACATGACATGTGGACAAGGAATAGAAGCCGGAAGAAACAATAATAAATATGCCTGTCTACGATCGGGCCACGGTACATACACGATACCAACCGTCCTTGCAGTGACTTTGAGCGGCTGAAGTGCCAATCATAGGTCTATCGCACACACTACAAGAGCCTGAGATGCATCTCCATAATTTTAAGTATTGGCCATGTATTAATATATATTCTTTAGCCCAAGCATACTTCTGGATTTCTCATTTCCAGCGTGGCTTGCGAGGACGGAAGGTCAAGGGGAATGGCTGGCTCGAATTGCAAAAACAGGCTGACAAGTGGTGTGGATGAGGAGGGTGAGAAAATGAGCATACATGAATGGTCATCATCCATGTATTTTCCTAGTGGAAAGATCGTCAGATCCACGTCTGCGTTTATTGTAAACTTTTGTGCTACCACCAAATCCAAGGGTCTGTAGAAGTCATCCCTAGGTATCAAAGATGAGGAAACTCGACCTGCCCCGAAGCTCTTTCGTCTTTCTCCGGCGCTTTGGTTACACTGGGCAGGGGATGAACGTGGGTTGTTGGTGAAGAGGATGCAAAGTCAATTGCATTTCATAATTTTCCTTGACCCCGGAGAGAAGTAAGTCATCGTGATACATTTTCTGCCGGCTTTTGCTTGGTTGCTTTGACTCAGCTCGATGTGCAGTAGTAAGATGCATGTAATGGTGGGAATATGAATTTCCTGATTGGAGGTTGATAAATGATGCTTGTCAGAGGGGAGATCTGAATGGTTGAAGAGCTGTCCTGTCGTTTAAACTAGAACCGAAAGCTGCGGGGTATGCAACATTTAGCACAATATCCCATACATCTCGCAATCTACCTAGTTTAGAAGCATATCGACAAATGAAATTATCATCTTGGAGCTTATCGATCAATCCACTCTCCTGCCAATGTGCCATGGTTTCTCTGTACTCATTCCTGTACCAGACGTATTAATCAATATTGCTTTCAAGCTAGAAGATGTGTGATGGGAGTATATCTCAGATCATTGGAAATATCCCAGTAATCACCGTCCTCGTATCAACACCTTGAAATCAAAGCGGTGTATAGAGAATTCGAGTTCTAGACGAGGCTATCGCACTTCTTCCTTCTCATCCAGATCTTGGCTTGAGTTGTTGTCACTATTTGATCAATATGAATTGGTCCGTCACCTTTCGTGGAACCTCCCCTATTTAATTCTGTTCCCCTCTAGGTTGGTTTCCGTCCCTTTATTAATTGAAAATCCATGTGCAGGCCCATGCGTGTACGAGGCATCATGTTGGCAATGTTTGGTTAATCTGACAGCATTGTGCATCTTCAATCCTTTGACATCAATTACATATATCTCCGTATGTACAGTACAAGGAATGACCTTTGGGTTACCTTGATAATGCAATCAAATAATGAGGCCAAGGTAAACGGCGCAAAGAGATCATTGTGAATGGTAGAAATGTTGGCTATCAACTGCAAGGCGTTCCCGATGATTCGAAATTGGGGTTGCTTCGCCGCAGCCCGCACCAGGCATTCGCCGACATGTAATTCAAATTTTAAATGCAAAATGAATTGAAAAGCGGTACATGGACTCGTTGACACTTCCGTGCCGGTTATTGGATGATAGACGGGATCCTCGGGCCGTGATTGGAAAAGAGTGGTTGGGATTCATATACCCAACAACATGAATGGTGAACCCGACCGTTTGGATTGTCTTCAGGAGATGGATAGTTTTGGTTTTGGGCTCTGGAAAGAAAAGAAAAAAGCGTAAGACTAGAGCAAACAAACAATTTTAGCTTCATGTGTTTTGTTTCAAGGGGATCTCGAAGAGGGTTAAGAGCGGACAGGTGTTACTTATTGAGGAAAACCTTGAGGTGGTAGTTTCCTGTTCAAACGGCTTTTTTCGTTCGTTTGTTTTGTTTGATGTTCCAAAGTAACAACCCCTTAGGTTCCTCCGAAGTTTGAGATGGTCGATTCTACTAGTTTGTTTCTCCATCAAACAAGGGGACTCGTGACTCTTCCCTTCTTGACGGCTATATTGTGGAAGTTAAAGCAAGTATACCTCGTGAACAATGAACTGTAGTGAGACTGTCAAATTGAATACCTCCGGATACATGCATGATCTTGGCTAACCAAAGTAACGGCGTATGAATCCTGGCATATCTGCACCTAGCCATAGTTGTAAAACTATGGAATAATACTCGGAGGAAAAGTCCGTCGGCCACTCACGTCCGACCATCTTCTGGATTTCGTCAACATTGAAATCCGAGAGGGAGAAAAAAGAGGAATGGTTGGTATGAGCACGTGTGTTGCACGTGATATGTATCACAAAGTTCGAATCACATTATCACATAGTATTTGGATTGTCATTCTGATTCCTTTCATTTCGATGCGCTCTACATGACCCCTCGACTCGGATGGGTCGAATCCGACAAATTGGGGGCGAAAGAGGGGGAAAGATAGAACAAGTTTCTAATTGTTCCATGGTGGAGATTTGCGGAATAGAAATGATGATAGGATTTAGAAAATCAAAACACAACATGTCTTCAAATGAACCTTAACCAACAAATCATTACATCTCAGAACGTCGTAACCGCAGTACAACAGCGCAACAGGCGCATAAATAAGCTAACAGTTTATCCTCCGAGCATTTCTAGACATTCTTACTGGTGAGATGTTCTTGCTTACCAAAGTAGGGTCATGTACCTGATATTATACTCCTTCACCGTTATGAAAACTCTTTCTTTTCATGCGATGACCTCGAGACATAACGAGTGACAGAATTCGATCGACTTTGTTTGAGGCCACGCCACCATATTCATCCAATACTTGCTCAAATCCCATTTCAGAGTGACTACTTTGCCAAGTCGAACAATTTAGAATAACAAGCGTTAATGTGTGCTATGTAGTTAGGCGATTCATTATCCGTTCTTGGTATCGCATCTCGTATGCATGTATTGGTATGTATATCATCGTATATGGGGTAATTGGAATGTTACCAAGTTAGGTGATGATGATGGAAGATACGATGGTCAGCCTGCATATGTTGAATAAGTTGATTGAATACCTAGCTAGGTAGTCAAGGGATAAAGTAGATATTACGTAGCACCTAGGTACGTATCGAGTAGTAGTAGAAGAAGAAGGGTCGAATGATCCGTTGATGATAACAAGGTTAAAAGCCACTCTACAGGTACCAGTGTTCAATTCAAGGTGGGTGCTCAAGTAGGTCCCTATCGAGCCTATCTACCGAGTATCTACTCCAAATAAGTGCTCATGTGACAAGGTTTGATTAACGACTTTTCCCCTTCATCTGAAAAGTAAATCCCAATTAGTCCAGTTTTCATGTTTTTAGACTCTCCATCATACCCTTTGAGTCGAAACTTTCCGACCCTTGATGATCAGAATCAGATACGACTCATACAAGTGTATCCATTGAAAGTTAAGCATATTAACCCAAATACACTAACAACATCCATGATTAGACTTTCCCGTTACTTACTTTCCTTATAGGGCTGTTGTGGCTGTCAGAATTAGAACCCTTGATGTCTTGGTGATCGATTACCTCCTACCTACCCCCTAATTACCTAGACCTATCTAGTAGGGAGGTAGGTATGTATTAGGAAGTCAGGACTCAGTACGGGCCGTCAGTACACACCTTTTTGGTGGAATGTCACCTCACCGAGCTCACCAAAAGATCGGACGCTCATCCTTCCGGACACTGGCCAATCTCTTTTTCCAACACTTGTATTGCTTCAATTTGGAAATTCAAGTATCTTACATGATTTGAGACGAACGATGAAAAAAAAATCGAATCAATCGTTCAAGTATCTGACATGAAAAGTTCTCAATAGCTTCATTATCACATCTCAAAATACCTCGAAACGTCTTATGCAAAGATATTTCATTAATTTCAGACTCTAATCGAACTGACTGTCCACTTGTATTCAGTATCAACCAACCTCTCGACCTCTTAGTATTTCTACGCTCAATGCAGATTAGAGAGAATGTTGGAGAGCACGTTTGTAGTATCTCCTGCGAGCCCCATTGCTTTGCGTCAACACAACGTTTCTTAGTACCTCAGCTAAGGATAGATAGTGTTGTGCCTGTGCGGTGCGACGACAAATTTAATGACGCTATTCTATTTTGATATTAATTGTTCCTATTCCTGACCTGTCATTTCTTGTTAGCCGTTCTTGGTTGCTCTTCTCCTTGTTGTGTAGGGCAAATTGCGTCGTACTAATGAGCCACTCCAAACGGTTCTAAATGGTCCAAACACTGGAATATCAAGCATGATCACCGAGGCGCGCGGCGATTGTTCCAACTTTGGTCTATTTACGTCCCATCTCCACGATTATTCATGCATTCGAAGCTTTTTCCCAGGAGGGATAAGTGAGATAAGAATTTTAAAGTCCTTGGTATCGGTGGCTCGAGGGTCAATGAGGGTCACCATAATCCCGGTACGAAACTCTTCGAAACTCGCTTCCCCCTCGACCCCTCCAGGTCTTGTAACATTGCAGAAATCGTCCATTGCAATAATTACATTACCCATCTTGATGTTGCCATGAGAAAACGCCTCGTTGCGAAGTCGCATGGGCAGTATGTACAAATTCAACCATCCAGAAGTTTGCGTTTGCGGAGATTTCAATTTCCGATGGCCATCTGGGAGAGTTCTCCCATGAAATATCGACGCAAGTTTTGAATGTCATCAAGGTCATCGTACTTGAGACCCCGCCTCAAACGTCAAACAGAGATTTACATCATTTACCCCAGTACCTAAGAAACACTATTTTGATGCAGAAACGGGATGAAAACTCATAGAGATATGCAACTCTACCCATGCGCAATCAGAAACTGTGATTCCATCGACTACTCGTCGTTCCCTGTAAGATGGTTTTGAACCTCAGAGGTTACTGAACTTGGTTTTATCGATATTCCAGACGACCAAGTTGGTTCTTCATATAACACCCAACGTTCTGCTCTTTAAGTTTCCCTCTTCTTTCCTTACACTTGACGTGACTACCTATTTCGCAGCTAATATTTACTTTCCTTTCTTCACCAACTGGTTTGGCTGCCTTACATTCTTTATTGTAGTTATATCCTGTTTTACTTATCTTATTCCGACTTTTTGACAAAGATTATATTCTATACCAACTTTTAACAACATTTTCGATTCTTCGATTGCCGGCTCAGCCATCTTTTACACAATATACTTTCAATTTATCATCAATCAACGACTATCATCATGTCTTCAAACCAAATGAACACCCAAGTGGCATCATCCACATACGTTCCAGTCGACGTAGCCCAACGACACGAATATGGCATCCAGAAGAACCGTAAAACGGCTTCCACTGGTGGCGGCAGAGCTTGGAGTGAGGATGAGGTATGAATGAAACAGAAACCTTCAATAAGAAAACTTACTAATCAATTTGTTCTAGGAAGTTTATCTTCTTCAAACTCGCCTTCAGAAAATGCCTTACAAGCATATCGCTTCTCATTTGAAGAAGACTGAATTGGCTTGCCGTCTTCACTATCATCAATTGTCCCATGGAAGCAACCGCCGCAAGCGTACCAATTCCATGACTTCTTCCGGTAGCTCCAATTCAGAATCTTCGACTTTACCTCTCCGAATGCCATCTCCAATTGATGAGGCTACTCATCTCCGAGCTATATCCCCTGTCTACAATTACTCACCACAATCACCTCAACACGTTCAACTCCCATCTGCATCTTCACTTCTATCCCGCTCAGCTTCCAACAGTCCTTCTAGAACTCTTGGTCACCCCATTGCTATTCTCCCAAAGCCAACCCCTTCTCGACACGCAGTTAATGATTCCTCATCGGATCAAGCTCTCCGTCTCGATTGCGTCATGACTTCCACCCCAGTCACTGTTGCCAGCGTTGACAAAGAACGTCTTCGTCGTGTATACGAAGCTCATCGCAACTCTTTCTGGAACGTCATCGCATCCGAGTATGGCGGAGGCGTATCTCCTCTTTTACTCGAGGAGACCTGGAAGCAAGGTGTCGCATCCAATGGACCACCAACCCCATGTGTCTCCCCAGACATGCCAAATCTCAACCGAGCAAGCTACCATCATTACAACAGCCAAGCCCCTCAACGATTGCCATCACCAAGCCAAGAGATCAAGAACAACGCTACCAGTATCTCGGCACTTCTCGGTATTGATGCTAGTCCCCGTAGTCCTAAGGAAAGAGAGATGATCAAAAGATTGGAGGAAAGTAGGGAGATGTGTTAAATAATTTTCTTTCTTCATCATTTATATCTATTCACGATTTCATTCGTCAGGTGGTACACAAGAAATGGTAATCTTATTGACACGACACGAATTGGATGATGGTTACGAGGGGAGGAGTTCGAGCTCCACTTTGGATACGATTTGGGAACAGAGGGTATTTGCACGATGATCTATTCTTCTCGGCGCAAGGAGGGGAGTTATGGGGCATTCGTTCAAATCCATCTATCAACCTTTCCAATGGGGTATTTTGTGTAGTACAGTAGCAAGCTTTAATCGCAATAGCGCGAATCCTGAATATACTTTTGAATTTCAAATCCATCTGCCTTCTATCTGTCTCGGTTGTTTCACTGCCATTCACTTGTTTATTCTTAAACCCCGTACTTTTCGACATAAAACATCCTTATGGTTTCATATGTATCTTTCGGAGACCATAGATTGCGGCTAAAACATTTTGCGTCCACAATATGCATATTTGGAGATCAGATGAAACATATGAGATATCCATTTGGAATAGAGACGTTGTGGATATACAGAGCTTTTCCATACAATAATATCCATATTTTAACCAGGAAAAAAGAAAGGGCTTGTGGTTGTAGTGGTGATTGAAATTGAGGTTGATTGAAAGTTACCTCGGTTGCCCAGGCCCATGTGGATTGTCCGAACTCTTATTTAGTGGAGATTCTACGATAGAGCCCGAAGATAAACTATAAATTAAGCATCTACTAACGTGGATGACGTGGGGTATTAGAGAGCTTACCTAGGAGCCTAGTAGTTTCAACCCTAACAACCACCCATATCGAGCCCCATACTGAGCCCAACTTCTTTAATCCAGAATGATACCCTCACTCATCAAGTATGGCCTTCGGGCGACCAAACACGCAAAAGATGCAATCGCATCCGCATCGGCCTCTATGCTGCTTAAAGAACATTCAACAAATGGTCCATTGGTCCGCTCACAATACCTCGATGTAAATCAACTCCAGCGATTGAGCGCCACGCTTGCTTCTCATAGCTCGTCTGATCCCTCCTCCAGTTTCGCAGTAGAGTCGAGCCCTGATGCCCTTCCAATTCCTCCCTGTCACCATCTAGTATATTTCACACCACCAGATGCCGAGGATAAATTGGGGCTTGATGGATCGGATACGATATTCAATCCGCCAGGACCTTTTACAAGAAGAATGTGGGCTGGCGGGGAATTGGAATGGGTGGATGGGAATAAACTGGTGACGGGGGAGAAGGCAGAGGAAACGACGACATTGAAGAGTGCAGAAGTGAAGAAGACGAAAGCTGGGGATGAGATGATAGTTGTAGGGGTCGAAAAGACATTCAAGAATTCCAAGGGACTTGCGCTTGTGGATCGAAGGTAAGTGAAGTTCATCTCGCCATATCATCTTGTTGGAACATTGAAGTTGTCATTCAATTGGAAGAGTGATTTGAGGATTCGGGAAGTTGGTAATATATGCTAAATCAAAATACAATCAGAAATTGGCTATTTAGACAAGCAATTGATTTTAATAATCCCCCTCCCCTTCCGCCACTTCCTTCCATCATTCCAGTTCCTTCCGTCAAATACGAGCACACTATTACCCATACACCAATATCCCTCTTCCGCTTTTCTGCTTTAACTTTCAACGCGCATAAAATACATTATGACCGGGACTGGTGTCGGAAAGTTGAGGGACATCGAGATTGCGTCGTACATGGCCCGTTGAACTTGATACACATGGTTGATTTCTGGAGGCATATTATAGGAAAGAGTGAGGGGGGCACAGGGAATGATAAGCTTACAGTACTTTTGCCAAAAAAGGTTACGTATAGAGCTACGAGTCCATTCTATGTGGGAGAGGAGTACCGGATACTCATGGAGGAGGAGAAGGAAAAGGTCTGCAAAATGAAGATTGTAGATCGGTTTGGAATTGTGGGAATGGTAGGCAAAATTGAGAGGTGATGTTATATTGTGGAATGTTATTAATGCCCGAGGAAATGTTGTGCTATGCAGCTATGACGAACAACATTGAGCATGTTCTACTGGATACATCCACCAATCCTTGCATTCTCGTCATTGTTAGGATGCTGCGTGCATGTCTTCCCTGGTCTGTATTGTTTTGTCCGACATACTGTCTAACCTGCTCTGACTATATCTCGGAGCTCACAATCATGATTCAGCGAACTCAAATCTACAGCAGTGTCTCATTGGGTCAAAAACCGATTTATCATTAAGAAATATTATCGCTATCAATCAATACTAAATTCGACTCGCTCGTAATTCAAGAAAATGCGGTACAGCTCGTGGCCATTGTCGACGTCGACTGGAACTCTACTTTCGATACGTTATCTCCCTCTCCCAATACCACATCAAACGTGGTAGACCATTGCACATTATCGATCGACTTCGTTCCGCTGAATAAATAATATCCATCGATCTCCTCGCTTACTTTCTCCATAGCTGTACGTTGCACTTCTAATGATTTCACCATCACGCCTGGTATGGCACGTTCAGACACCCAGTCAAAGGCGACAGGTTCGCTGATACGATCGGCACGAACGGCTGCAGTAACTGTTATATTCCACTGGCCTGCGTCATTGACGGCTACCTGTGGCTGACAGGATTGTGCCGGTTGGTATAAAATGGCGTCTGAGAGTGGGAAACCCCCGCCGTTATTGGTGATGATTTCATCAGCTGCACCGACGGTATGTAAGATGACATCGAAAGACGAGATACTGGTTGTAGCATCAAGAACAGTGCTGAATCCATACCAAGTGAAGACCTCTGAAGCGAAGCCATAACTCTGGCCCAACAAGTAACGTTCTCGAGTGGCAGGAATTGTAGTGGTCGAAGTGTTGTTCTTACGATCACGGTATTGAAGAGATACGGTCACATCATCGGCGTTGCGGTTGGTGGTGCGAACGCGGATGTATCCTCCGAAGGAAAGAGTGTTATTTCCAGCCAAGAAAAGAGAAATTCCCCATGGCTTCACTTCGATGGGTGTGATGACTTCAGAAAGTGTGACGTCTGCAGGAACAGTATCGATCATTCGAGCGAAGATGTCAGAACATTGCTTTTGGAAATTCGTTGGATCTGCTAAAGATGTCATCGTTTTGTTATTGTCGGCACCAAAAATGCGTTTATCGGAATTGAACGTATCATTTTGACCGATCACAAGCGGGTCGGTCGAATTGTTCCCTAGATATTCGGTCACAATAGTGTTGTCGAATTTGGTGTAGGTGCTGTCAAATTTTGGAAAGTTTTCTGCGCTGCCGTCGCCGGTAATCTGAGGAAAATCGACTCCATGAACACCTCCGAGAGTATGGCCGCATGCTACCATGGTTATCATCTCGGCGGTGTTGAATCCTTGCTTTGCGAAGATTGCAGTGTGTGTCGCCAAATCCTGATCAGGTTCGGGTACGCCAAAAACACCAGCTTTCATGGCATCGACTCGTCCACCTCTGTATGGAATGATTGGACCGCCACAAGCCATTGAAGAAACGACAACGGCCATTGCAAGAAGATCGGCCGACGAAGCTTTAATTGAGCGACGGTCTTCTGTAAATGCAAAGGTAGCATTAAAAGCATCACCAGGGTTCTCTGCTCGGCCAAGTTCAAAGGCTATAGAACCATCGAGTCCTCCAAGGCCAGTCTCTACATCATGAGTAGCCATATCATGATAAGCAGTTCTAATCCATTCCGCAGCTGCCTGGCGTCCACCTCCTGTCGATGAGAAATCGCACGGCGTCACACCTGATACGAAAATTAGTAGACCATTCATTCTCATTATCAACTTGAAATATCTTTTCCGAAAACTTACCATCTCTCAAGCCAAAACGTATGTAACCTTGTTGAAGATAAAGAATATCCTCTAGTTGATCATACTCGGACGGCCAAGTGTAGACCGCATTAACTGATAGCACGGGTAGCAAAACCGTGCTGATTAAAGATGCCCCCTTCATTTTTAAAGACGACTTGAAAAGAACAATATCCACAATAGAGAGTCGGACGACGTAAACGATTGTAGTGACTGATTGAAATATTCAATATTCAGTAGAATGGGAATGCAATTATATATCGGTGAAAGATGAGTGGAATACCAGGTATTTTATAGCAACACAACTGCAAGTGTGTTAAATCAATTACTGATAGGGACTGATTCCTGTCCCATTCTTCTCTGAACCGAGTCCCCTCGTATTTCCTGAAATACATTGGGATCCATATGTCTAATCTTCTTCAAAGCAGGGCCATCAAAAGAAGTGGAAGGGTTTAGGAATCCGATCAATAAGGGTGGATAGAATACGATGGAAGTATCAGTAATCATACAGCCTACGATTCCGAAGTGGAAGGTGTACCGGTATACGAAAGAATACGACCGCTGCCAAAAAGTAGTCAAGACTCCATTTTCACAATGGAGTGGGTCCGCATGGGGAATTTTGGATGTTCTTAGAGTTTGTTATGCGAACGCCAGAACGTTGGAAAGAGTAATGGAGAATACATGATTTGCTCGTGAGCTTCGCCTGGGGTTGGTGTTAGTAGAAGGTTAATTAAAGCTTGTTCGTGATTGTGGAGCTACCCGTTGTTTGAATGATGGACGGAGAAGTGCCCGCATGAAAGGGTTTAATTGGAGGGACTAGAGACTAGGGTGTGGTTGAACCGTTGAAGGGAGTATAATGGATTATGGATAGGGAGGTGGATGTGTAGTGGATATAGTAACTTACATACATGATACATCGTAGAGTAGATAGAAAATAGTAGCTGGCTAACTAGCTGCGGAAAGGGGGAGATGATTAGGTTTTGGAGATGAGGTGAGATCGAGTGGAGTAAGAGTAGGTAGGTATATAAACTTGTACATGTCCCAAACCCAAAGATCTGATGTTTTTGGTAATGCATAGACATTCTTCAGTACATTACTCTTAACCCCTCTTAAGATCCTCTGGTAGAGTACGACATATTGGTAAAGTTCTGCAAATCAACTCTTGAAAAGGAGAGTCCAGAGGTTTGGTCGCGTGATCATGAGATCGTATTATATCACGCGTGCATGAAATCAGATCACATACCTATCTACCTTGGTATCAATGTCTTATTCATACAACGAATAACCTGCAACGATACGTAGGTAGGTAGATATCCAAGAAAGATACCAAGATACCCAACAAATGAGTAAGAAACAGATTCCCTACATCAACCCTCCTCCACCCACGCAGCCTCTCTCCTAAATCAAATCCTTCACAACCCTCTCCATAAAATACGCCCATCTTCCTACCCAAATCCACAAATTCACAAGTTACACCCTTCGCACAACCTCTTATCGCAAAAAATCTGGTATTCAGCCTCCACACCCCCGAAAATCTTCACATGGTACCTATCACTCACAACCCCATAAATTTCACATTCAACCATTCACCATTCTGCTCACCGAGGATTTTCAGCCTGGGAGTCATACATTTACGAAGCATTACCTAGGGAAAAGATTCTTCACACCTGAAAGTGTGAGGGATGAGCAAAAATTCATAGGTTCGCGTTCGCCCCCGCCACAAAAATTTGATCCACTCGAGATCGTCAGGCAACGGTTTGCGGCGGCTCAGCCGCGTTTGTGATTCATTTGTTTTACTCTGCTGGCGATTGTGGGATTCTTTTGAGTGTGGTTTTGTTCATAAAGAAAGATTTTGGATGAAGAAGTGAGATTCTTTTGGATGGTAGTTTTGGATGCTTTTGGAGAGTTCTTGCTTGCTGTTTGCTTGTTTGGTTGGTTTTATTGCGATTTTTTGCGTGTCGAAAAGCGATAGATTCTACAGAAGGATAAGGTTACAGCGTCAAGACCAGACTAAGACCGAGGTCGAAAGCAATATCAAAATGTCACGACATCACCACAGTTCTCGAAATGAGAAATCACATCCTCATTCCCATTCTCGACGAGATACTCGCCATGAAACTCGTCATGAGAAAAAGAAAGTTACGCCGAAAAATCTAGCGGCGACATTGGGAATGATGGGGTTGGCGATTGGGGCTACGTTGTTGACGGAGGGGGGACCGTGGAAGAGTCGTATGGCTGCTGCGGCTACGGTGGTGGGGATGGAGCAGATGCTTGAGAGTGGGGGGTTTTTTGATGGGAAGGGGGAGGGGGAGGGGAGGGTGGTTAAGGAGAGGGAGGAGAGGGGGGAGAGGGAAAGGGAAAGGAGGAGTGAGAGGGGGTTTGAGGAGGAGAGGAGACGGAGGGATGTGGAGGATGATGATGAAAGAGCATATCGACATCGAAGGGAGAGGGTTAGAGAAGAAGAAGATAGGAGAGAAACGAGAGGAACGAGGCATGGATATGGACATGGATATGATTCATATGAGAGAACAAGACGAGATACTCACGATGAAGATGATCGACGACGTCGGGAAAGACGAGCTAGGAGGGAAGCCAATAGACGGTTCGACGAACAGTATGAGATTGAGGAGCTTCCCGTCTGATGATTTACTTTACTTTAAACTTCTTTTGGGTCGGGTTTTAGGAGGTATTCACATGGTACCAAATTATCCAGGAAGGAAATGGACGGACATCTTTGGGAAGGCTTAGGAATCGGAGGAATATGGGTAGCTTGGTACATAAAGCAGAAGTTGGGTACTTCTAGCTATTATCCCATCCAAGCCCACGGTTACGAGGGCATGCGGAATGACGGTTTAGGAAATGGAGGATTGAGATGATATTATGATACATGCATGGAAAGGGATAACTTTCTTTCTTTATCGAGTCTGGAGATGGCTCTAAAACCGATTATTTTCGATTGCGTAGATTTATTTTCTTTTTAATTAATAACTTTATTGGGTTCTTGAGAGATGGAACTGTTTCCTAAATAATTATCTGCAGCTGCATTTGGACTTAGTGATAAATAACTATTCCGCACAGGCATACATACACAAACACATCTTTGGAGAGGAAAATGATCCCAAGGAATTACGATACTGCATTATGCGTGAATATTCATTCATTGTAAGACAAGAAATATTTTCTACTCGTGGTGAATATCGATACAATACAAAACCATGTCTAATACTCCTTACCGTGTAAACTTCCTACCGAGACATTATTAACCCCAATACTCCTTTTGAACTTGAGCCCAAAGACTCTGGAACCACCAAAAGACACCGAACCCCTCCTGTCGGAGAATGACTTCTGTACCCTCCCTTTAAAGACCCACACATTCATGATATTCGCTCGTTCCCTCTTCCCAAGACCCCAAACATATGCCCCAAAATCCAAAATCCACACACCCCTATATGTCAAAACTTTCCGGATCTTCTTCCATGAAAATTTTGTACACCCTCCTACTAGTTGCCTTCCCAATCTTCGTATCCGTAAGTGCTCCATTCTTGTTCGCCAATTTTCGACATCCTTCCAATGCCGACGAACCGTTCTCTTTGAATCCCTGTAACAGGGCCTGAGGGGTGGGATACTCAGCGACTATCCCCTCTGCCATCTTCTCTGTAACATGGTGTATCTCCTCCAACATTTTGATATACGTATCTGTGGTATCTTTTCCAGATTTGAACTGACCACCCGCCATACAGAAATTCAAACCGAGAGCTTCGCGTTGGGCTAGATACGGAATTGTAGATATGTGCTTGGTAAACTGTGCGACCCATTTTGCGCTATCTTGTGCGTTGGTACTCAAACGGTGCTGCACTTTATGGAGGACTTCCAATTTGAGTAAAGAGTCTTCAATGATACTGTCTGCGTTTTCAATGTATTCGTCTGCTTGTGTTGCTTTTCTCCTCTGATTGGAACTGCTACTAGCCCCTTCATCCTCCGGTATTCGACTTCTCACTGCAGCTTGATACTGACGGTCTTTTATGTTCCGATTCTTATTCTGCCATGCAGTTAAACCTTCAATAAGGTATATCAGCTTGCATGATTCGAATTGTGATTTGAGGATAGAAATATGAGTATCTAGATCCACATCTCCTCTTCCTAAAGCCATATCAACGAATTTCTTGGCTGGTATGATACATAGAATGTGATTTTCGTCCTTGATTTGCCGTGGTTTGGGTTCCCATATATCACTTTCTTCATTGTATTCCGAAATGACCTTTCGACGCCACTTGATGACTAGATCTGAATTCTCCCATTGAGATTGTTGAACGTCCAATTCCTTCAGTAAAACATCGATTCTAGTTCTCAATGCCATGTGGCTTTTATCTTGAATACATGAAGGTAAATCAACAATCATTTCCGGAGTCGAAATTTCGGGTTTGGTACGATCGACGTTGACTTTAGCCAGGTCCTTTGCCTTTTCTTTTTCTCGCTCCTTCTCTGCTTTGGCATACTCTTTGTCGATACGTTTTTGCTCCCTTTCAGCATCCTTTGCCGCCTTCTTTTCTGCTGCGCTCGAAGCCTTTTCTTTAGATTTATCAACCTTCTCTCGCTTCTTCTTCTCGGGTGTAGAATCATCATAATGATGTAGCATTGGCTCTTCAATCGCTTTCGGTCGCCTTGGTGGCGGATTCCAGGATTTCAGATTCTCAATGGATGGAAAGTCATCTTCATCCTCGACATCCAAAAAAATTGGCTTGCTGGCTTTCTTCCGGGGTATCTCCACTTCGTCATCATCATCGTCGTCGTCATATCGAGTCGAAGATGCCTTTCCCTTGCCGTATTTCAATCGAGCAGCGGACGTATCCGGCGAGCTTGTAAACAATAAAGGATCTGCGCCCAAAGAGTTTGATCTATTCAACCTGTATTTGGGCGGTCTTGCTTTACTTGTTCGGACGGACTCAATATTCGAAACAGTGCGGTGGTATCCGCCTGCGGCCCTTGGGACTCTATCTTTTGGTGATGATGCTCTCTGTCGTTTCGCAGGTGGCGGAGAAGTGAATGGGTCGTCTGAGTCTGTTATTTCGATAGGAGCATTGGCGCCTTGTCGTTGCTTCGAATTTCCAGTATCCCGTTTTGTAGATGCACTATTCAATACAGAACCAATAGTCGTGTCGAAATCATCAGACCACAATTGGAGCTCGTTGCCATCATCAAGGTGTATTGTCTTGGAAGCTTTTGGTTTGGGAGATCGTATCGGCGGATTTGGTGGCGGGGCCTTCGCTGTCTCAATACTAGTCAAATTATCGAAATTTGCAAAGCTGAAGTCAAAGAGCTGGACTGTAGGTGGTCTGGAGATATTCTGTGATAGATCTTTGAGTGGAGCTTTGGGGGCGACAATAGGTGCGACTTTGGCGCAAGTCTTCGGTAGTTCTGGCTCTGGACTCGAACTTATCAAATCAATAAAGTCCTGCATTTTATTGAGATTAGAATTGGAATATGCGGGTAGAAATGCCGGCGATTGTGTTCGCACAATCCAGAACATATGAAAGTATTACGTTGAATTGAAAGAAAGCAAAGCAAGACAGTTGGTGGCATAGACAGACTCTAATTGGATTTGTGTTTCGTTTGCGAAACTTTGTGTCAACGCGACTGATACGCGCTAGAGCTCGTTATCACGTGATCTGCGACAAAAAATGGGTCCGCCAGATTTCACTGGCACGCATTTCTTGACCCGGTATTGCTTTGACTCTCTAGCATCGTAACATGTCGCCAGTCCTCCATTTCAAAGTATTTGAATCATATGATCAACTGTAAGCTGCAATTTTGCGAAGTCTTCAGTGGCTTAGATCACATAGCCCATCTAGTTCACACAACCGCGATGCGATTTCACCAATGAAGTGTGTGGTTGACGCGGCGATCACTGGCTTGCATATATCGGAAAAGTCTTCAATTTACTATGGTCTACAGATTGCACTGCAGTGACAGCCGACAAGGCTGGACTTTGTTCTCTGTTGTTCCATCTTGAGGGTCGCCCACATTGAATTACCATATTACGAAGATCTCTGTATCTTTGCGCTCTTCCAGTTTGACTATGTTAACATTAAATTCAAGCATTCCGTGAATTTTCCAATTTGATACTTTATCGCAAACTTTACTTCCTTTGTACTATGTGTGTGTGTATGGATGTTATAAGACATATCATTTTGTGTTTTGAATATGGATCCATTATCTATTTTGGGCGCCATCGCAGCCTCCTCTCAAATCGCCCAACAAAGCTACGATGCCATTAAATTCTTGAACGATATCAAAACGCAAATGCAGAATGGTCCGAAGAAGATTCGTGGACAAATACAACACATTGAGCAATTCATCAATCTTCTAGCATTGGTTATTAAGAATACCTCTTTACAAACCTCCGAAGTGTCTTCGGTTGTGAAAACTTGTTCTAATTCTGCAAAAGATATTAAGGACAGCCTCGAAAGTTATCTTGCTACTCCGGATGAAGGAAGAAGAGTAAAATTGCGAAAAGCATTTACAGCGGTGAGATCGGAAAAAAAGATATCCTCTATGATTGTGGATCTCGAAAGAGAGAAGTCCTTGTTGAGTCTCCATATCCAAAAGATTGATTTGTAAGAGCGCCCAACTATGACACATTCACTCTACTGATTTTCAAAGATCTCTATTGCAAACAGTTGATCTCAATGCAAAAGAAATTAAATTGACAGTTGGCGCGGTTGCAAATGATGTTACGGATGTCAAATCTATACTTATATCGGTAGCCAAACAAATTGCTACATTTCCATACAACTTCCAACTAATACTCACCTAGATGAATTCTCGATCGGATGTTGTCGCTCCCACAGAAAACGTTAACAAAAACCACTTCATCGTGCCAAATCGCCGTGTTAGTGGCTTTATTGGGCGTGAAGATATCCTGAACAAGATCGGAAAGGGATTATCCTCTGAATCTGAGTCTCGTGTTGTTGTCCTTCGAGGGTTAGGAGGCCAAGGTAAAACTCAAATTGCACTTGAGTACTGCCATCGTGCAAGAAAGAACAATATTCGAGCCGTATTCTGGATTGATGCAACATCCGAGAGCACGGTCAAGAAAGATTTCAAGTCAGTACTGGAGCATATCAAAAGCCCAGCTGACTCAACGCAAGACGACCAAGTAGTTGCCTCCGTTTTGAACAGACTTCAGGACTGGAATGAGCCATGGCTAATCATTTTCGATAATCATGACGACCCATCAAGTTTTCATCTGCCTGATTTCATACCATCGGGGCAAGATGGACGAATTTTGATCACGAGTAGACACGCAGATACTGCTTTACTAGCTGAAAAAGATCATGACATTGAGCTACATGGGCTCCCGAAAGATTATGCTTGTGATCTTCTCATTAAACAAAGCCGGGTAAGCAATACCGCATCGCGCGACGACGCACACGCGATCGTTGATCGTTTGGGGTATCATGCACTAGCTATTACACAGGCAGGATCATATATCCAAAGTCAAAAGATTGCACTATCCCAATTCATGGATAAATATAATCGCCAACGAGAAGCAATTTTGCGGGAGACGCCACGAATGTCACAGTATCGACGTAAGATTGGGGAGGCTGCGGACGAAACGGCATTGAACGTCTTTACGACCTGGGAACTTTCTTACCAACAACTAGAGACGCTTGATGATGAGAAGAAATACAAGTCAAGGATTCTGACCTTGTTTGCTTTTCTCGACCGTCAAAAAATATCCCAACAATTATTTGAGACTTATTGCACAACAGGCCTCTTCTCTCAGCCCGACATACTAGAGATCGAAGAACCTCTACTCTTGTTTGTTGATGAAGATAATAAATGGGATGAACAAAAATTCGTGGATATTTTGAATGATCTCTCGCGACTGTCCCTGATCCAAAGCTGGTATAGAGACGAGAATGACCATTGTCATCTGTCTCTACACCCTTTGGTTCAGGACTGGATTCGCATACGCGCTTCTTCGGAACTTTGCTACGACTCCGCGGTTCTCAGCGCTTATCTCGTGGCAACAGTTCTCGAAGAGTGCTACTCTCATCAAACGTACATTATGCCCTTATCTCTACAGCAGGAGCTCCTATCCCATCTTAGTTTGTATGAAGAGGCTCAAGAGCTGATGATTACACTTAAGAAAGATAAGGCGTTCAGTAGAAATATGTTGTATCGATTTTATCTAAATCTCACGCGGTTTTACATTCATAGCGGTTTATATAGAGAATCTGAGAAGATTGCTCGTCAATGGGTGGTAGCGTGTGTATGGGAATATGGACCGGCGGGCGCAGAAACTTTAAGTGCTCGTGTATGGTTGTCAGATGCGTTATTAAAGCAAGATAATTCCGAAGAATCGTTTCACATAAACCGAGAGGTGCTAAAGGTCCGTAGAAAAAAATATGGTTCTGAAAATCCACATGTACTGAGAGGTACACACAACATGGCATGTAGTCTAGTAGAAAGAGGACAACTTGTCAGAGCCGAGAAGATCTTCAGAAGAGTCATCGAAGTAAGTGAAAGGATTTTAGGACACGATAAAATAGAGACAATGGCAAGTGCCTCTGCCCTTGTTCATGTTCTCCGAATTGCAGAGAAATTTGCTGAAGCTGAAGCCCTTTGCCGGAATTTGGTCCACGACTGCCAAAGAATATTTGGAACGAATCATCCTGAAACATTTTACCATATAAATGAATTGGCCTTCATTTTCGAAAATCAAGGAAGACATTCCGAATCCCTGGCCTGCTTTGAAAGTGTTTATGCACACAAACTAGCAACACTGGGCCCCGACAATCCCAGAACACTCCTTTCGGAGTGTAATTGCGTGAGTGTACGCGAGAATCTCGAACGGCAATCACAGAAAGAACAGAGAAAGGCCAGAAGGGGATCATCCGCAAGCCAACGCTCCGATTCTGAAAGCGATACAGAATCTGAAGTTTCTGAGCTCGGTGATGAATCCTTTTTCTCCACATACGAGCGAAATTTACTCTGGTCATCTGATTCGGATATAGAGAAATCTCTTTTCTTGACTTCCGAAGGAGAGGAAGGGGGGGAAAGCGGGGAAGAATATGAGGGAAAGGGCGCGGGTCCAACCGTTGGAACCAAAAGCGAAGCCAGTGATAACCAAATACCAGAGGCTCTAAAAGATAAACGAGAAGTAAGCGAGAAACCAGTAGCGGAGGAGCAGGAGGAGAAGATCAAGCTCGAGGCAAACGAACATTTGAAAGATTGAACAGAATAAGATACATGGAGATTGCATAAGGAAAGGGGTCGAGAGAATTGACTGTCCCTGGAGACAAGGACAGATCGCGACGGCAGCATGGATTTATGTATCTTTCTTTTTGTTCGAAGGATACATGATTACAATTACAATATTTCATCCTCTACAAATCTTTCCTAGTTCCCTTCGTCATCATTAAATATCCTCCACTGCTGTAATCAGTCTATAACTTCTCCCATAAATCAATCCCGCGGTATCCATTTTCATCTTTCATCTTTCATCTCCCTCATCTCCATCTTTTCTTCTTGGTTTTTACCATTTGCGACGTTATATTCATCCTTTCTTTTTTTACGATTTTTCAGGATTTTCATGTACATAGAATTTTGAAAGCCGACTATTACTATAAAGTTTTATTGCAAAATCTATACACCCTTAATTCTGTTGAACATTACTGGATCGTCAACTGTAATCACATACCGCAAAGTTTCACTCCGAAATCCATAATTCTATAATTCCGTAATTCCGTAATTCCATCGAATATTTTTAAGTAGTCAACTACAACCACATACTACAAAGTTTCACAGCAAAATCTATAATTCCATAATTCCGTAATTCCGTATAAAATTTCCGGATCATCGACCTCATGCAATATGCAAAGCCCAAAAACCAGCCAAATTCCGTGAAACAAGTGTAGAAACTTGGAATTCTTTGCGGACATTTCCGTGTGGAGTAGATCAGAGTCTACTCAACCATTCAAGAGAAATAATAACGGTGCTTTCGTTACTAAATGAATGTATCTTAAGCTTTTACATGACAAACCGGAACTACATAGACCAGAGAGGTGTAGGCCTAAGATATGGCTGTTGCCATATCTTAGAATAACATTTGGTCTTTGCGCTAGCTGGAAAATAACATATAATCCCTCTCCCATTTCCTTTAGTAGCCTTCACTTAGCCCTTCCTTGCTACTCCAATCTTGAAGTATGTCTCATTCTGTAGTGAATCACAAAGTCAAATTCGTCAAAGCCGGCGACTTCGTCGAGAGATACGCTTTCACCACTGAAAAACGTATATTGCAAAAAGGTTGGACGCAAGCTGCGGGCACAAGACCACTGCCGATCGACCTGATCTGGGAGAAAGATGTACCAATCAAGCTGAGAGATGGAGTGATACTATATGGAGATGTGTTCCGCGCCTTGGAAAGCGACAACTCTCCACAGCCCGCATTGCTTCCGTGGAGTCCTTATGGTAAGACCGGCAGTGGTAAGTGTTTCTATCAGATGTGCAGGGTGCTGTTCTGGGAATGCTAATATTTTACTTAGGACATTTTTTACTCAACATGTTCCCCTCGCGCGTTGGTATCCCGTTAGCAGCTACGAGTGGCTTGGAAAAATTTGAAGGCCCTGATCCGGCAGAATGGTGCAAAAGAGGCTATGTTGTTGTAAACGTCGATGCTCGTGGAGCCTTCAATTCACATGGAGACATACAGATATTCGGAACTCAAGTAGGTGTATCTACCACAAATCAACTGTGGTAGCACTGACATGATCGAAAATTAGGAGGGTCGTGACGGCTATGATACGATTGAATGGATTGCTGCTCAACCATGGTGCAACGGATCTGTCGCACTGGCGGGGAACTCTTGGCTCGGCGCAGCCCAATGGTAGTCTATCCTCTGCTTCTAACCAACTTCTTGTTGATTAATCTTGTTTAGGTTCATAGCTGCCGAAAACCCGCCTCATCTCAAGGCTATTGCGCCGTGGGAAGGGCTTGGGGATTTCTACCGCGAATCAATTTGTCGGGGAGGTATTCCCGACCGCGCCTTCTGGAATGAAGTGTTTTCTACTTTCGGTGGCAAGAACCAAAGAGAAGATGTGTGTGCTATGGTGGATGAATATCCGCTATGGAATTGGTACTGGGAAGATAAGAAACCCAAGCTTGGCAGAATCAACGTACCAATGTATGCTACAGCCAGTTACTCGACTGGTCTACATACCGAGGGTTCTTTTCGTGGATATCTCATGTCATCCTCGTCTGAAAAATGGTACGCCAAGAATTCAGCAGCAAGTCACCTACCTTACCAGAGTAAGTGCTAATCAGTCTTCATAGGTTACGGATTCACACTACTCAAGAATGGCACGATCTATATCAGTCAGACAGCAACGACGACTTACAAAGATTTTTTGATCATTTCATGATTTCTGCCAACAATGGATGGGAAAACACTCCCCGAATTCGCTTGTCTTTGTTGGGTTACAACAGGCCTAATGTAGTCAACCGACCAGTCACCACTTACCCACCACCAGAATTTCAGTATCAGAATTTCTATCTCGATACAGCCACGAATCGTCTATCAATGCGTCCTATCGAATCAGTCTGCTCCACGAGCTATGATGCAGAAGCAAGGGGCGGTAACTTTAGCCGTTTTGAATTCAAATTCGACAAATACACAGAACTTTCTGGTTTCTCTAAGGTGCGACTTTTTATGTCTACTCCAGATCACAATGACATGGACGTTTTTGTCTTGTTACGAAAGCTAGACTCCAAGGGTAACGCATTGGAGTACTTCAACATCCCATTCAAAGACCTACCTGAAGGTACAAAACCCGAAGCTATCCCAAAGGACAATGTCTGGAGGTATGTTGGCCCCAATGGTCGGTTGCGAGCCTCGCACAGAGCTACATTGCCTGAGCCTGGACTTTCCTCAAGTCAGCGAAAACTTCTGTCTGATGCCTATGTCTGGCATCCTCATGACCATGAGGAGAAGCTTAGCAAGAATGAGATTGTGGAGCTGCAAATCTCGCTCTGGCCAGGGGGCATGATATTCGACAAAGACGAATCAATGGCATTGGAGGTCAGCGGATTTTACGGGATTCGACCCGAATTTGAGAAGTTGCGAGACAACCTTCCCAACTACAATGTAGGTCGTCATAATATACATTCTGGCGGTCAGTATCCATCGTCATTTCTAGTAGCTACGAGTAGTCACTAGAATGAGTCGTCCGATTAGATGGAATGGTTCATTCTCATACTCAAATCCTGCTGGAGCAAGTTGTATGTCATAATGTCATTAAAATTGTGTACAGAAGAGGATCTCAACTGTTCCCAGTATGCGCCTGTATATTTTGTTTTTTAAGAGAACCCGTTCTTTAACTCTGAGAAGATGTTAGATAGACTGGCTATAAACTTTCGTTTATATATCATTAAGCAGTTGGCGATTTTTGTTATGCTTTGTTGAAAATTTGTGAATGTGAAACAACCTACCGCCACTTTTTTCCCCATCGCACTTCATCAGGTTCCTCGCTTCCCTCTACATCTTTTTCGGCCGGAAATCAATTAGGCCTTGATTGCTAGTGTATTTGTAGCTGTTGAGTAAAAGCAACTCATCATACGTTCTCCACCCATCGGTGTCCCAGTATGCGAAAGTGTACCAATGCTACTCTTGAGTTATGTGATAATAAAGTGATTAGCATAGAAAAAGATTGCGACTCGAAGTAAAAAATGTGTCAAATTCACTAGTGCAATATGCGCTACTTCTGAATCTACCCAACCTCCCACGTGAAATTTCGAATCCAAAATCCAAAATCAAGATACAAATAAGCCAAGATCAAGCGGCCATGAATTAAAATCCCACGCAGGATCATCCACGCTCAATTGCGACTCTATGATGTCCAGCATCCAATCGGTTGACGGCTGTTGTAATAATTCGGAGTCAAGACTTTCCATATCCAGGACGGAGTGTGAAGATTTGGCTTGATGAGCACTTGCTGTAGCCTCGGATGTTAGTTGCGATATTGCAGACAACATCCGCTCAATAGCGAAAACACTGCATGAAATGGCTTCCGAAGGTATCATCTGCCGAAGATGGTAAAGGGCAGTATTGATAAAATAGAAGTTCTTGTCTGTGGTATCTTTATCTCTCAAGGTGTCCCAGACAAGTACAAAGCAAGCGCTCTCGATGTAATAAGCGTTGTATCTCAAATTCTAGAATGATTAGCTAAGTTGATTTGCATGCTTGAGGTGCTGAATCGAGGGTGAGAAGCTTGAAATGCATTTACATTTATTAAAGAATTCGCCTTCGCAGCTCTGCTAGCAAAAGCTATCAGCTCTTGAGCGGCAAAGACTGCCACTTGGCATGCTTTAAGAAGCCACGGAGGGGCAATATTCTCTGAAGCCGGTACTTTTTCAGCAGTCTGCTGTCTGATGTGAAAGATCAAGAATGGTCAAAAAGTTAGGATGAGAGTATGATTGTGAAAATTGGACAAGAACAGTTGTTCAAGAGTAGGATGAGCTGAGGATTGTAAGTCAAATTGCAACTTGTGTTCAAGAGTGAGCTTTATGGCTTGTAACTTGCGATGTATATCCCAAGCGGCTTCAATGTTAGTCTTGGAGTGGATACCACCTGATCTGTAGACAGTGTGACTTGCTGTAGATGCTAAGGATGCAATTTCCACCCAAATCCGTAAGAATGATGGTTTAGTAGGATAGCCGACAGATATAGTATTCTCGGACAAGGCCGCCGGTCTCCCCAGACTAAAGGATGTCATACTACTAGAACGTTAAATTATTGGCACATATACATTTCAGGCCAGTGTATACCATTCGAATGATTACAGAGACCAGAATGTCTCGACTCTCTCTTCTTTAAACTCAGAGACTGAAAGCGACGAGGCTGCTCTATGCAGACCGGCGGCATGAGCTTTTCGGACTGCGGTGCCGAGATGTAAATACGCAGAATTTATACGTCCAACTACTGCTTGATAGTGGGCGTAATCATAGGTTAGTCTATAACTCAAATCAGGATATCTGACAAAGTTAAACTTATCAAAAACAAGGGCAGCTGAACAGCTTGAACATTAACGAGATCTTCAATGGTATGCATTTCAGATTTTGCTCTTAAAAAGAGATCTTCACCTAATTGCACGTGCTCTGTCAAGGTCGCTCCTAAAGCTAAAATAGCCATAAGGATACCGCGCTCTAGAGCGCTACCACTCGAAGTGTTTGGGAAAGAGTAGAATGTTTGAAGCATTCCCTCTATTCGCGTCCGTGAGATGAATGGGAAGAATGGCCCAAGAGTTGATATAAAAAGGTCGACAAAGCTGTTCGCAAGATGTTCCGGCACAATCAGCATCTGTGTTGAACTCCTTGATATGAGATCAGAAGACGTATTCCCAAAAAAAAGTCGTCGATAGCCGAACCAGTCTAGAGCCGTATCGCCGTCATCTGCTCTAGGGTTGGTACTACTGAAAGGAGCTTTTGCAATGGACTTGAGCTGCTGATATATTTGTTGCAGAAATGCAAAATTGGACGGAGGGCCGTAATATAGTTGAGGTGATGACGATAGACAACTGTTGTCGGTGGCTGTTATATGATCGCCATACTGCTCGTCGCCGGGTAATAAGCTAGGTAATAGAGGCTGTTGAGACACCTCCAAGTTTTTCTCGACTCCTTCATCCTCCTCTGCCTGTGGGTCACAATGTTCGCGGGAAGAGGATGCTAGGCCCCTCTTTCGTCGCCGAACGTAAGATCGGAAGTGACATGTTCCACCATACTTCCTGCAAGTATCACAGGGCAAGCCACCATTGCACTTAGTCTTACGTCGCCTACATTCATCGCAAGCCTTTCCTATCGATGTCCGAACTCTTTTTCGCGATGAGGGAGCGGATTCAGGCATTTCGACAAGGCACATTTAAACTCTGCGTGGAGGAGGGTCGTTGACATTATAACGTTTTTAACTCGAATGTCATGTGATTTGAAACTGCGGACCTTTGAGAATACCGAGACTCCGAGAATAATAAGAATAATAAGAATAATAAGAATAATAAGAATAATAAGAATAATAAGAATAATAAGAATAATAAGAATAATAAGAATAATAAGAATAATAAGAATAATAAGAATAATAAGAATAATAAGAATAATAAGAATAATAAGAATAATAAGAATAATAAGAATAATAAGAATAATAAGAATAATAAGAATAATAAGAATAATAAGAATAATAAGAATAATAAGAATAATAAGAATAATAAGAATAATAAGAATAATAAGAACTTAAGAATTAATCTTATATATTATACTACATTCAACTATTAGAATTAGAATTTATATCAATATCAATTATCATAAAAAAATAATTAAAAGATTAAGAACTCAAAGAATTTTAAAATCCTTATAATAACTAATAAGAAAAAAAGAAATTCTACAAATTTATACTAGTAGTTAAAGGTTTCTTATTCCCCGATAACTTATCACGGGGGCAGGCGGGCGGGATAGGGTTCTAATAACTTTACCCTAATCTGGCAAAGTTATACTGATTCGGGTAATAGGTTCAGATTGAGGATTAAGACGTAGCTCAAAGAGCTACAATACAGGATCTTCTGAGTTGAAGATATACGGAATTTTCACAGCGAGCTAGCCCGATCGGGCCCTAGCTCGCTTGCGCTCCGGTGCGAGCGCTCCTTTCGGTCCTCTCCGATAGGACCAGCATATCACGTGAGCTCACACCGTGACATAACTGATTTTAAATACATAAAGAAAGAAAGAGATTTTTTTTAATAAATACCTAGGTATATTTAACAATTCAACCCCTTTTTAAATAATTCAACATAGATAATCTATATACAAACCTCCAAAGATAAATTCCTAATATTTAAAGCTATAATAACAATATTCCATTCCAAAATCATATACACAATAAAAACATACACGTAATCGAGACATCGACTATAATTTCAAAAACTACCTAAAACAAGCTACCTACCTACATAACCTCAAACAAACGAGTGACTTCGAAACCTCAACTAACACACCCCATCCCCTTTTCAAAATATCACAAAAACATGTGTTTAAAATTGAATGTGAGATGATCGAGAATAGTCCAAATGGGATATTCCAGAGGATAGGTATCTCACAGCCTGTGTGGAAATGAATGGAAAAACACTTCTCCTACTTTAGCGAAAAATCTCTCATTCCCATTTCCGCTTCCATCAACATTTCCCCTTTTGCTTCGCTGGCTCGAGTCTCCACTTTCACCTTCACCTTCACCATTCCATCCCATTTCAAACCCCTGCCCACCCGTCCGTTCCATTCCTCTCTCCCCTCCCCTCATCCCTCATCCTCCTCAAACAGTCGTCGTCGTCCCTACACCACTACTACTCGTCAGCGTCGCCGCTCCACTAGTCGACGGTGTCGGTCCTCCGGGAAACGTCCCGTTCGGTCCACCAGGAAACGTACCATTAGGAGGAGGTCCTTCCGGTCCCCCACCACCACCACCAGCAACAGGTACACCCCCATTCGCCGTCAACGCGGCCGCAGCTTGAATAGACCCAGCGCGAGTAGGATCGATACCGAAGGCAATCCAGCCGAAGAGGCCTTCGGAGAGAGTGGAGCCTAGGAGAGAATATTTGACGACGGGGTCGCCGAGGGCGGCTTCTTGGACTAGAGGGAGGGAGGGTGTTAGCTGAGGAGATGTTTTTTTGTGAGAAACAGGGGAGGGAGATGGGAAAGGGAGTGAATGAAATTGGGACTTGGAATGTGAATGAGGAGAGAAATAGATGACGTACGAAAAATTCCATCGTTAGCATTAGTAGTCGATCCTGGATTAGGATTTGTTGAGTAAGGAGTCAACGCCTCGATCTGATTCGAGAGCGAGGTATCGAAGAAGAGTTGGCCAATGTGCGAGACTGTTGAGCCTTGATATGTACCATTTGGGAAAGCTCTGTGTGTTATATCTTCAGCATCATTCAATCTTCCCATATACCAAGATTTTTTTCCGAGATTGAGATTGAGAGAGAAAGAGAGAGAGAAAAACCATACGTTCCACCAACATGAGTAGCAACATGAATATGCTGGGTCCTCCCCTGATAATGCCCTGGATAAAACGCCGTAAACTGAGTCGCGCCCTCCTCCCCCGTCGCCTGAATGCCCCTCGCAAACGTCGCATTAATATTCCCAGCCACCGACGCATCCGTCACCCCACTATACGTTCCCGTGCTATTCGCATACCAGAAATCGATGTACACGTCGGGGACGGGCTCGCAGGTAGCCGTATCGATGACTTGGATATCGAGAATGAGATCAATGCCCGATTGCACGGCGCTTTCGCGCACGTCGGCCCGGATGTATTCCCCGCTGACGTAGAAGGGGCCTTCGGTTACTTCCGGGACGAGAATGCAGGAATTGTTGCCGGTGAAGATGTCGCTGTAGCTGTCGGTGGGGGAGTAGCTGGTGGTGGAGAGGTGGCTGGTGTTTAGGACGGTGCCGGAGTCGCGGGCGGAGAGTTCGGGGAGATCGCGGAGTTTGATGATGGAGGTGTCTGGAATAGTTAGCTTGGGTTGAGAGATAGAGAATTGGCGTGTGAATGAGAGGTTACCAGTGGGAAGACCGCGCTTGGCTCGCTCGTTTTGGAGGATCTCGTGTCTTCTATCTGTAGTGCGTTGATGATGACCTCGAGCCTTGAGCTTAGAGTAGCAGCTACTGATATCTCTCTTGTGGAATTCATGAGCTCTTGCAATATGAGCAATTTCTTCCTTAATGTCGTGCCCTGGATGTGCTTGCACGGCAACCAAGGAGGCCACCGTGGGGATGGCGAGACGTGTGAAATGCATGGTGAATAAAGTACTCAGGAGAAAAGAAGTTGATGAGCTGATGGATTCTTCTATTTCTACAGGACGATGTTCTTCATATATACACATAATTTTGACCCGTATTAAGAGCTCCATAGCAAAAAAAAACAAAAAACATTCTAAATCACGTCTTTCAGATGCCAGCGTGCAAAACGAAGTGACATCTTGATGTCGACAGCGCCAAGGCTTTCACGATCTTCCCAGCAAGGCAAATTCCAATTCATCCAGACAGGATATACTTTTCCCGCGAACGACGTCGACGGAATCGAGTAGGTGATTGATTTTGGAGGATATTGAGGATCATCCCAAGACAAAGGTACACGCGTCCAAATGATTTGGATTGGTTTTGAGGATATATTTCCACAACCACAGGCGTGATTCTATATCAAAGCGCCTGGGATACCTGTCGAAACCATGTAGAATTGAGATTCTCCATGCCCGTCCTACAGGAGCGCCATCTTGGCGATATAGGGGAGGATCAAAGACATATGCAATTCGTCATACAAGAACACTAATGCCAGAAAGTTGATTGGAACATCCTTTTCAATAATGACATTCCACCGTCGGAGAAATATTTCTCAACGGGAAGGTAAGAGGAATATTTGCTTGGTGATTGCCCTTAGAAGATATTATTGCGATGGATAGTACTTGGCAACTGCAATACCGAAGGATGGAACTTACCCCAACATTAATTACGCACATATACAGACACATATGAAATGACTTTCGAATTGCTTGTGATTAGCCGCGCAGAGGAAAAACTGCCGGCAGATGCAGGATTTCCTGGAGAAGGAAAGGATGAGTAGAAAGATATGGGATGATCTAGAGAGCTGACGAAGCCTCTCTAGGTTTATATATCAAAAGCAAAATGTGATATGAGTTCATACTTGTACTTGAGGTATGAGTGACATTTACATCGTACAAGATTGGTTGCGCTTACTTAAGACAGTATATAATTCCTAGACATTTGCATATTACAATGTCATCGGGGAAAAATCTGGATATACCAATTACAACACCCAAGTGAAGATTGGACAATTGTGATGCCTTTTTGCAAGGAAATAGATGGTAGATATTCATGGTATTTCAAACCATTCGTTGTGGTTTGACAAAACCTGAGCAAAACCACTTCACTTAATACCTACTCACGCCTACCGACGCTACCCGACAATCCCCCGAACCCACACCAAAACAAGTCCACCACCATCATCATCCAAAAAAGGCAAACACATCGCACACATCAACCCTCGAGTCAATCACCCTTCGAGTTAAATTCTCACTCAACACATACATCACTATCAATCATGGAGCCAAAAAAAAAAAAAAAAAAAAAAAAAAAAAAGTACAAAAAACAATCAATGTAGGAGGTATTGAACCACACCCGATTTGAACGGATAACCTTTCGATCTGGAGTCGAACGCGCTACCGTTGCGCCAGCGGTCCTATTGATCTGAAAGCTGCGTTTCATCAAATGTTATATTTCAAAGTCCTGAGGACAATTAGAAATTAGGCTGATTGAAGCACGTGAGATAAGGGATGTGATGCAATCAATGAAGAGGAACGAATGTTGCACATCGCGAAATTGTCACCATGATTCTGTGATATTTTGCTGTCTGACATGGAATCAATGTTTTATTAGTAGTAGTTCATGTGCCTTTCGATGAGGCATTTTAGTCTAATTGGTTTTAGATATCGTGTTTATTAGATAGCTTTCAAAGACAACAATGATAATTCTATAAGAAAAAATAATCTTTATAATAGCTCAACATGTATATCCGTATAATGCGATTGAAAAGATCTAAATATTATCACTGTGTTCACTATTGTCTCCAAAAAATTATAGGCAATAAAATGCGAAACATTTATTTATACCTCTCCATTGTCAAGAGTATAGATTCAATTGTATACCCTCACAATCCTTCCTAGTACTCATCAATACTCCAGATCAAACAATTAATATATTACCTATCTGTTTGCTGGAGTGACTTCTTGAAGTTAAGAATGAACTTTGAAACATAGCTAAGGATGATGCCAATGGTTTACTCTTTCGAATAATCGTATCCATATAAATCCAGGTCCTGAGATTCCCATACTCGAATTTGTACGAGTCCAGTACTGGCATCTACAGAGTATAGCAAAGACATCAACGACATATCAGTTGAATATTCGAGATGCAAACAAACGATATCTGAGCTGATGAGTCTCTCGGCTAGAGATGTCAGACCTCAATCCCGCCCCAATATAAAAACGAAAATCAATCGTCTTTACATACCTATCAAAGAAAGAAACTTTCATCCGTCATGAATCGATCGAGATAAAGTTTTTACTACATATATTAAAGACAAGGCTGCGTAGTCTAGTCGTGTTCTAATCCTTATGTCGTGCGGATCTTAACCGTCCTGATTCAGGGATTTTTGTATTAGTATGCTAATGTATTCCTCCCTCTTACTCAATATTGCTGTTGCTAGACTGCGGCTCAACAAGGAAACCCTATCTAGAGCACAGGAATAAAGGTACCGTCGTGGGGTAGACGAATCTACCTCGGAGCATAAATCGATATTGTGGACGACCGCGAGGGGGAAATCCAGTCGTCTGGAAGTTGGGACGATTGATACGAATACGACTCAATATAAATGAACCAGACAAAAACATCCTACGATAATATACTGTTAAGAATTGCATGCCGCCACAAGCTGTCAGAAGTCATACTGTCACCATCCATTTCATCTGATGTTCAAAATGTGACCAATTTGCAGGCTGGTAGCTTGTTTATTCGATACCCATGACTCTTGGATGTTCAGATCTGTGATTTAGCTTGGCCAATGAGATTGCTGATTAAAAGTTTGTTGTAGTAGTAATTGGAGGTGCCACTGGTCAAGAGCAAGCATATCCTTACTTAGGAATGAAAAGATCGCGAAGGAGCTTTTTACTTGATACTCTCCACACATCATCGAGGGAGTACCCACTACTCAGCTATTAGCTCTCAAATGAAGAAGTCGCGCAGCCTCGGCGCACATGGTTCTACCATCATGAAATGTGCCATTATTCGCCGTCGCCGGCTAGACTTGTCGCCCGCATGCTTAGATGCGGGAACTTGGGGAGATTCCTTGACGCTAGACTCGATTTTTTTATCTCACCAAGGTATCTAAGCGATCTTGGGGCAATATCGGGCCAAAAAATCGACCAAAAAATTGTACTTGGGAGACTTTCACTCTGTACCGTAAATTTCGAACCCTCAAACACATGGTTATAGCGCATGAAAAACTGAATCCTACATGATTTCATCCTTGATGCATTTCGCGTCTTGTTGAAATGCCGAGCTGCCACTCTCTCTTGGAAACTGCCGCGACAAAGTATTAAGGCAATAAGGTTCGATAAATATGTACATAGGTGAATCGGTGGTGGCAATCTCCATGCCATCTGTGGGCTTTGCATGGACGCGGATAAAAAGAACTATTTGGGTTGGTTGGGTCAATGCGTGCGTGATATCTGTGTCGTGATACCGTGATACGAATGTTTTTGATCGTGCTGACCGACCGGTATTGCTGTCACTGAGACTGGTAGATGAGGGAGAGAATTTCATGCTTGGTTGCAAAATCTGGAGACGAAAGACTCATGCAAGAAGTATGTTAATTTGTAATGAATTAAAGTTATTGACTCGATCAAATATTAATATAAAAGAACTTCGGGATGGTGACGAATCGAGGTCAGTGTCAAGTCTCGAGTTTGGTGCCGACCGGAGCCGTATCAATGATCCATGGTTCAACGGTTGCTGCTTTGGGAAGATTTTTTATTTTGTTCCGAATAACCAACAGTGGGCTCTTGGATTGCTCATTGCTCATTGCTCATTGCTCATTGCCCATTGCCCATTGCCCATTGCCCATTGCCCATTGCCCAACGTCAATTGTCTTTCCTCTTGAAAATGTATAGGAGAGGGAGTCTTGTTCCGGTGTTCCAGCCTCGATTTGTATAGTAATTTGCGATCAAAATCAAACACATGCAAGGGCCCAGTAGATACTTGGTAGATATCCAATGGATCCCAATAATGAGCACAGATCAACTTTGGCAGCAGTTTTCATTTTCCAAATGGTTAGTTTGAATACCAAAATCTTAAATGACCCAAAGGAGAATTCCAGAAGTCCACTCGTGTCGGGGAAATTTGATTGACTGCCGATGACAATAATAACAAAAGCCACATGTGCGGAGACACTACGGAGCTTCGATTCATATCAATTGTGCTTCAAGTAAGACTCATGTGCGTGTGCTTGTGTGCACTGTGCACTGTGAATGGGCTTGTGTGGCGGCCCTGTATGATGGGATGGGCGTACCTAAGTTTGCTATCCGTGCCTGGATTCGACCCTTGACCAGTTGGAAAAGAGTTAGAGTTCCTTTTGGATCATTGGTTACATTCGCACATCCATACGAAGTCCGGAGTAATCAAATTTGAAGGCGGAAAACCACATGTTGACCACGATATAGGTTGATGTTTTGTAGACGGACGGTACGTTAGTGGTAGTGGTGGTGGTGATGGTGGTGGTAGTAGTAGTACTACGCGTCCGGGCGTGCTTGCGCATGAGTTAAAATTTTTGTGTCATATATCAGAAATTGAGGGGAGATTTGATGGATAAATACCTTCTGAGGCAAACCTAGAAACGGCCATGAGCTGAATCTTTCCTTTTCCCAATAATGTATGTCTGTGTTGGATCTGTATCCGTTGGTACGTCTCTCCTTCGTATAATCGCAGATAATCGTTACGATATTTGGTAAAGTTGTGTCGACCCTGTTGTGGACTAGAGTAAGGGGGAAGAAGCTTGGAAGGGAAACATCCCGTGAGCGAGGGCAGGGTTGATGGATAAATGAAACCGAACCGTTCGAGATTTCGTTCCTTTTGATGATTATGATATGATGAATCGATTGGATGAGAGAGGTAGAAAGTGGGAGGAGATATGGGGATTGGGTATTAGATACATTTTCTTCTTCTGCTTCTCTTGTTTGATCTCCAATTGATGGAGCAAAGATACAAACAGCTGCAATATCGCGCATGAGACTAATGTAAGTACACATCACACTAATGTATGGTATGAATAAATGGTACGGGAAATGGAGAAGAAACATCAAGAAACATCAAAGCACCCCTCGATTTTGCTACCCGTCACAGTGTCACTGCATTTGGGTCCATTCGCCATTCTCCAATTGAATCTTCCAATTGCACAATAACAATGCCTTGATGTGGAATAGGGTGTTGGAAATGTTTGGGTGTTATTTTATTTTGGGAGAGGGGATTTACTTTTCCGGGAATTTCTTTTGGTGGTCGTTCTTTTCCTTTCTTCTCTTCACTGTCCTTGGAATTTCCTGACCTTTCTCTCTCCATCACTATACTCACTACTCATGATTACCTACTATCAAAGAAAACGACTTGAAAAGATATACTAAATAAGTATACATAATTGTGATTATATATTATATATGTAAATACCTAGGTACTACTACCCAATTGCCCACTCGGTAGATATCTAGACGGATGACTTATCATCGGCATCAAAAGTATACGACCTTTCAATCAATCACTCATTCATTTTGACGGTTGACTACACATTAGCTTTTCTTTTTCCATACAATCTCCTGAACATCGACCCACTCTTCGAATCTTCCTAAATCTTAACCCAATTATATTAGACCCTCACCTCACACCCTAAACTAAAACCACGCTAAATCCCTTTTGGGACTTGGGATAAATAATCAATGAACAAGACCGAGATAATAAATAATAAATAATATCATGAGCTTCGCTTTGAATGCTTTCCTCTCTCCCTCCCCCTGGTCAATTTTAACCTTCCGTGCATGCTCCTCTTTTGGGTCCTTTGCCTACCTACCTACTTTGCCTGCTTTCCCTTACCTGCCCTTTGCCTGCTTGATTGATTGCTTGCTTGCTGGTCTACCATATCTATTCATCATCTGGATTTCTTCCTTTCCTTTCCCTACATTCACTCGTTTTCCTATCTTTCATTCTTTCAATCTTTAAGTTTCGTGACTGCACCACAATCTGCAATTTGCAGAAAGCAGCAGAAAGGTAGGATCAAGATATCAAAGGTTCCATCGTCAATTCTACCAACCTGGACTACGAAGGGAACAAGAAACACACATTGTACCAAAAAGGGGGCCACTGCAAAACGTCAAGAGCTCGAGACTTCGTTTCCAAAGAAAAAAAGTGAATTTCCATGATCGAACGATATAATCAATTCACGCAATATACTCAATATACTACACTCCTTTGATTCTTCAACGCTTCTACGACCATACTATTCTTGTCGGCATCTATCGGCTTCGCGACATATCTTCAGCATTCTTTCCAATTGTCTTCTATTCTTTCAGAGGAGCATCATACTCGGATTATTCAATCAGAGAAGTCGTAACTTCTCTTGAAATCTCCAACCATGGCTCCATCTCTTACAAGTTCATCCAATTACCTTCGACCCAGAACCAGAGACCGCGGTGATGAGCGCCCTAGTACTCGGGAAAATAACCAGGATCACAATCTCATAATTCCTAGCCGAACTTCATCTCTCCACTCGAGAATTACACAACCCATTCCTTCTTCACTCAACGCAAAACCTCAAGCTCGCACACCAAAAACCCTCACTCATGCCTACATGGTATGCGGTGTTGGTCGAGAACCAGCACAATGGGTGAAGGCTCCAGCTCCAGCGCAAGGAAAGATTCAACATATGAAAGGCGCCGTGGGTCAATTTTGGCTTCCTGAGATTCTCGGTAGCAGTCCTCGACTGGAGCAAGATAATGAAATCGCCAGAGCTCTCCACTCTGCAATGAGGGTAAGGATTGAAATGAGTCCTTGGTAAGATTTTACTAATTGACAGTAGGCATGCTTCCCTCACGATGTCGAAATCTGTACAGGACGTAGTCAACCTCATTGCGTTCACCATTCCTTCGTTCTTCAGCAAGATTCTTCGCATACTTTGTACGGTATCGCATTACGAGTTTGGTCCCGAGCAGATGAGAAGCGTGCAGAGACGATTCGTGATTTGAGAAGGAGGACAGAATCGGACTTCTACGACTCGGCAGACGAAACTTACTGGATTCCATACTGCTTGTCTTTCCTTTCCAGATACCCATTGTATAATCTGCTAGGTGACTACCTCCGAGGAATGTGGATTCATTGGAACAAAGCTACCAATCTTTTCCACGCGGAAGAGGTCTCGAGAATATTGAGCTTTCCAGCTCCCAGACTCAATGATCTCGTACGAATTGACATGAAGGACTACGCGCTTTGTTATCAATTCCCATCCTCTCCAACGGGCTTCCAGAACTTCGCCATGTGGCCATTGTTCTCTTGCTTATCTATTCCTAACATTGTAGGAGTAATTGAAGCAGCTTTATCACCCACCCGTCGGATCATCTTCGTCTCCCATTACCCTGCCATGCTCACAGTGGCTTCAGAGACTATTCGATACTTTGTTCGAGTTTACGAATGGAGTGGTCTTTATGTTCCAGTTGTTCATGCAAGACACGCGCAAGAACTTGTTCAGGAGCCTGGGCCATACATTCTTGGAATCACAGCAGAATGTCGATCCTTATTCACCGCACCCACTGATGCTTTGGTTGTGGATTTGGATCGCAACTTCGTTCTAACCTCTAGCCCACCTACCGCTTTGACTGCTGGTCAACGCACAAAGATGGTCAATCGCATTACTCAAGCTCTCAACGGGGATGTCACACCTTCTGGTGTACCACAGCATCTACGCTCAGCTTATGGCGGTGGTAAATTAATTCCAGCTGGTCAAATAATTGTTATGCGCGGTGAAGTCGAGTCTATTCAAGACCCAGAATGGTGGAATCAAGATGCTACTATGGCCGTGATGGATCATGTTTGTGAGAAGATGGTGAGTAAAATTTGAACATGCTTTTTCTGGAATGCACTAACTCTTTTCAGGGACGAAATACCGGAATCAAGGCTGTATTTGGAGGAGCTCAAAAGAAACCCTTAATGACTAAGGTTTCTATGAGACATCTGAATGAGATTGTACGCGAGAGAAATCAATACTCCAGAGATGCGCTTGAGGCATGGCAAGATTTCATCAACCTCAAGGGTCGCATGGATACAGAGCTCGGCAAAGTCACCAAGAGAAACAATTTCTTGGTTGAAGAACTGGAAAGCTGGAAACAACAATTCCTCAAGTTCCAAGCCTTTGCTGAGCAACTTACTAAGGAGACTCAAGATCTTAAGGTCAAGATTGAAACCCACAAACGGGAAAACAGACGTCTTACCGGCCTTATTGACCAACAAAAAGACGACGCAGCTCGTCTCAACACCCGTCTCTCTGGTACAGAAAAGCAGCGTGATGATGCCCTCGAAGCGCTTGTTCTCCAACAAGAGATTGCTGAAGAACTCGAGCGTGAACGCAAGCGCAACAAGAAAGAGCTTGCAGATCTTCAACGCACCAACTCCACCCTACTGCGACAACGAGATGAGGCACAGCGAGTTGTGCTACATCTCCGCAGTCTTATCGGTGGCCAATCTCACCACTTGGAGCACTTGGTCCGCACTATCCAGAAGAGTCCAGATATCACTGAGTATCTCGATGCTGAATTCGACCAAGAAGAGGGAGAAATGATGAGCGAGATTGCCGAGGAGGGCAAGGCCGAAGGCAAGAGACCCGCATCCAGAGGACCTTCCGAGCGTGGATCATCGCGTGCTTCGTCTCGTACACCCTCACGTTCCCACCGAATCAGCCGATCCGGCGATGATATGACTCCTGAGATGGAGTCCAGACTAGTTGGTAGCGTACGAAATAGTAAACGCTACAGTGCAATCAGCATTGCCGATGTTGCCGATCGTCACCTTCGAGACAAGACTGATGCCATCGCTCACATCATCCGAAACATTAGCGATCAATGTGCAGCTGCTGTTGAGGGTCTGATGATGGCTCATGATGCGGATGCCGAAGCTGAGGAACTTGCCATGAGGGAGCAACGAAGACATCGTGAAAGCAATCTTTCAACAATGGCCAGTGATGGTGAACAGTCAGGGGAAGACAGCATGCTTCATCCAAGCGGTCGCGGT